CTGCAAACCCGCTACCTGCCACCCTCCGGGTAGAAGATGGCCTACCGGTATGGGAAACCTTACTGGCTGCCGAAGACATCGGCACGCAACTGGAAGTCATCTCCAGGGCGCAGAAAATCGAAGACAAGTGGAAGAAACGCCTATGCATGAGACCACTGATCTCTATGACAATTGCTGGATCGCGCTTCCCCGCTTGTTCGCTGCAGCGCAAGTGAAGCCACCGGGCTTCACTCGCTTGGGATACGATTTGCCGTTTTTGCTAGCCTTTGCTGCGGTTTTCCAGCGTGCTGACGACACGTTTTCTACTCGTTCGTCGTCATTCGCCGAAGTTTTTTGAAGACTCTGTGTATTGTTGAGACTTTCCGTTGTGAACACGTGGAAAATTTTACGAAAGTGCAGTGTCGCAGGAAAAAGGCACAACGCGTCGAAAGGAAGGGCTGGCGGCGTGTTCAAAGCATCCTTGGCACGCCGAAGTGCCGTGTCTCTGTGCCTTCGCACGCTTGGATACCGACCAAGGACCGACGCCGCGTGTATGTGTCTAGCGAGTGCAATGTGCGTGAAGCTGTTCGTGCCTCTGGATCAGCGTCTTTTCCCCTCGCGGTTTAGGAACGAGCTTAATCCAGCGTCCACTAGCGACGGAAGATGGGGAGAAGGTACGTCTTTTTTTCGTCCTTAGACGATTTACACAATACCGTGCACAACAGCTCCTCATCACTGATTAGTGCTGGCTTATTATCAACCTACGCGACTCGCCTAATTGTAATTGGTCAACAGATTGCACACGACCATATCGGCCGCGCTTCAAAGATTTTCATTCTCGCCGTCTTGTACTTTTGCTTTCGAAAACCCCCCTGGCTCCACGTACAACGTTGCCCTATTCGTGCTCCCACGGAATCTATTAGAGTAGATTTGGGACATAGCCATGGTTAATATAGAACATAAGAATACGTACAGATCTCCCCCTTTTATTGATAGCAACTCACCGGAACAGCTGGACGATCCAGAACTCCGTGGCCGATATATATAAATGATCTAAAGGCATCTACGCGCGACACACGTTCAGAACTTTGGCGCGGCGTCAATTCTTGACCGGTATCCAAGCGTGCGAAGGCACAAAGATGCATCACTCAGCGTGCCAAGGAAGCTTTGATCACGCCGCGACACCGGCGACACGTTTTTGACGAGTTGTACCTTTTGATACGGCTTCACGCACATTGCACTCGCTAAACACATTCACACGGCGTCGGTTCTTGGTCGGTATCCAAGCGCGCGAAGGCACAGAGACACGGCACTTCGGCGTGCCAAGGATGCTTTGAACACGCCGCCAGCCCTTCCTTTCGACGCGTTGTGCCTTTTTCCTGCGACACTGCACTTTCGTAAAATTTTCCACGTGTTCACAACGGAAAGTCTCAACAATACACAGAGTCTTCAAAAAACTTCTTCGGCGAATGACGACGAACGAGTAGAAAACGTGTCGTCAGCACGCTGGAAAACCGCAGCAAAGGCTAGCAAAAACGGCAAATCGTATCCCAAGCGAGTGACGCCCGGTGGCTTCACTTGCGGGAGCGGCAAGCGCGATCCAGCAATTGTCATTGAGATCAGTGCATGAGACAGTCCCATACCCCCAACCCTTCGAACCCGTAAACTAGACTTCGGTCTATTGTTTGGTTCAAAGGTCCGCCATTTTCCCATACATTCTGGCTGCCGCAAGCGGCGGATCATGCAGGCAGACCCTCGGGGTCCCAAACACGGTTACATCATCAGAGCAGTTTCGTGAACTTCAACAATCCACGAATTTACCGGTGGAAAGATATTCGCGTTCCTTTCGAAGCTTTCTTTTTGCATAGCGCGCAGATGTACGGCCTCGCGTTAACGCTATAAGACCTTTTCATTTTAGTAGTTGCCTCACCGGCGGATAGAGGGCGCTGACGCACTCGGCGCCATTAGGTTGCTTCAATTTGGTTGGTTTCGGTTTTAACGTGAACTCGGCTATGTTGCTGTTTTACGTTGTTTTTGCTTAATTTTGTGATATGATTATTTTCTTTGTAGCGCACAACCAATGAAACCGTGGTATTGAACCACTTTGAGGACTATGAGGTTTATTTTATTTTAGCCTAAACTGCGGGATTTTTGACCAACTCCTTTGGTGTATCTTATTATGGTCGGTTGCGAAACGCCTGACTGATGTACAGGGAAGATTACCATCTTCTGCGGCCGTGCCCGATGACGCCAGTTTCTAAGAAAACAAACTAATGAAGAGACTAACACGTGAATGTAAAGAAGCATATCGACAGTTTGATTAGCAATGTACCTAATCGGCCAGAACAAATAAACTCGCGAGTTGACTGCTCACTGTTTGGTTTTCGTGGGCACCCAACCTTTAGTGAACTTCGCAGACTAAAAACGTATGGTGTGGTGACGCAGATAATTGATATAGCCAAGTAGTATCGTCTCGGCCTTTTTTTTAAACTCAGTACTCGACCATGTTTTGACAGGCCGAGTATGAATTTTTTTAATTTTCAAGCCTTCTAAAGTACTCATAAGCAGCATTTCACGATATTGACCTTAGGAAATAAATTATTTTTATATGAACATTTGCTTACTCAAGAATGGGTGACAGTCCCGTCAAATTAAATCTGGCATTTGCCTTCCGTAAAATTGGCAAAAAAAAAAAAAATTAAGGGGCGCAGGAGGCGAAATATTTCGGAAAGTTTGTGTGAACCTGTGTGAACAAATATTTATTTGTTTCAACAGATTCGCTGTGTTAATATCGGCGTCGAGCCACAAAAAGTAAACCAGATCTATAGCAGGACGGCTCTTTTTTTTTTTTTTTTTCGGCGTCAATTATTGCGGATTCCAGATACAGGCAAAAAATAAAACAACATACGCAAAAAAAAAAATCATTGTTGTTATTGTGCAAGCGCCGAACCCAAACCGCGTTTTGGATTCGCAAATAGAAACGATGTTATTTCTTTGTGCACGCTATCCTAAAACTCGCTACTGAGTTTCTTACGCGGGAAGACTCAGCCTTTGTGCTAAGTAAATGGCACTGGTTATCTAAACTTAATCAATAAATCACTTAAATGACTGTCGAAATGGGAACGAGTACTGTATACAATTTTTTTAAGCTTCATAGGTAAATCGAGCAAGCGAATGTTTACGTCACAAAAAAGATTGAGAACCTCAAACACAAGTATGTGTGATATTATGAACAAACAAATCGCCTGATGTTGACATACCATTGCTTTTAGCCTCAGATAAAATACAAGTTAAACGTTCGTTGTCTATCCTTTCCGCGAATTTCCTCACATAATCAAAAGAAACTGTTTTCGATATATTTTCAGGAAACACAGATAGACTCCTTGCGCTGACTATTCTTGACGCCTTCCGATCCTAAATGCGCAATAAAAATATACGCGCTTCTCTGGTTATTTCTGGTTACTTCTCTGGTTAACAAACCTCGGTTTCATAAGGACCTTTGAACACTCGTTATCTCTTAGTTGTCGAGCAGACGTATCGGACTACAGTTTCCGAAGTAAGGCAAGAAAGCGCGGTGAAACGCGACGAAAAACACACATACAAAACATCCGCCAAAGCGCGAAGGGGAGAGCGGAGCAGCAAGTTGAAGCAACCTAATGGCTGCCGCGTCACGTGATTCCAAGATGGCAGCGCCCATGCGGAGGAGGATGAAAAGGTCCGGTGGGGCGCGGGTTAGAGCACTATATAGCTCCTTCGGAGCAGAGTAGTAGGGAGGCTCAAGTGAGGGTGGGTGCAACTGCTAGATCGGCGATCACGGGACATGGACGCCATTTAATTGCTAAATTTTGCTGGGAGTCTATGGGGCAAAAAGTCGTTTTCTTTCCTAACTCGAGTCATATAAGCCCATTAAGGTGCTTGAATAATTTACACAAGGTATAAATGATTACTTTTCCATAGCCACCAGTTTTGTTGCGATAGGTTAAGTATTTTTTTAACGCGAAAAATGGTAAATTCCGCCATCTTGGACGTTGCTGCTTGTCTGGCAACTTTGCTTTCTCCGCTCGACGTTTGCAATTCTCGGAGCGAGAAGGAAGCGAGAAAGGCTGCGCCAAGGCGCTCGTTGCTTGCAATGGGAGGCGAGAGGAGGAAAGGCGCATGGAGCAACAAAGTTGCAACAGAGCGGGTGCCTGCTCTCGTGCAGGCAACACTGGCGCATATCCTTTCTCGAATCCTCTCCCTCAGGCGCCGCCATTAAATTGCAAACGCTCTCCAGGTTTTGAGTTGCGCCCACCCTCACTACAGCCTCCCTACAGAGTAGCGCAATCTAGAACGCCGCCTCTCGGCGACTAGCGGCGAACGCCCGGAGGTTCCAACTGCGGTCAGAAATGCATGGAGAACGTGAGCAAATCGTTGTTTCTCCACTTTTGTGGGAATGTACGGAATCGCAATCATTTTTGACATAATAATGGAACACTTTAGAATAATTTGCGCTAAGTTTTGTGCCCCGCAAGGACCTGACTTTTTTTTAAAAATTGCCTGAGCGGCATCATGCAGCAGACGACACGGCGACGTCACACCATTCACGTGACCCGCCCCGGCCAACCCGAAAAGCCCATCTCCGCTGCGAGCAAAAATCGTCTGCTTCAAACGCCATTGCTTTGGAAATTGCCTTCTCAAAATTTGCACACGCATCCGATATTGTTAAAACTTTGATAAAGTGTTTAGTGTTTTACTAACTTCACGACAGACTAGTTTTGAAAAGTATGAACTCGCCGTTCATTTTTTAATCAGCCGTGCTGTGTCGATCTCCATGTATTCTCCCATAGGGCGGGCCGCCTCCTGGAACCCTGAGTACCACGTGACTCGCGCCGAGCCGCTCTGTCGGCCATGTTGTCGGCAAAACATGGGGTTCAAAGGATTGCGTTACTCTGCTCCGTAGGAGCTATATAGTGCTCTAGCGCGGGTGGGCGCCGCGAGCGCCTATCCAGAGATCTGCCCGTGCCTAGATCTGGGGACAACGCCAGCGTAGGGAAAAACCGCTCGTAGGGAATCCGTTCGGATGGTAGTGATGATGATGATAATCATGTCATATAACACCTGAGACTGTGGTCGAAGAAATTGGAAACTTTTTAATAGAAGGATCAGACACAAAAAGGGACGTCTCAAACTCAGCTAACTGGTTTATTTCTCGACCATCCTATATCATGATTGACTTGCCCACTGGCGCCAACCTGGCCTCGCTGTTTTCAACGGTTCTCAGGTGCTCAGGTTGCCGGAGCGGCGTGTTTGAACCGTTTGAACCACAGGCACCACAGGTTTGAACCGTTTCAACGGGAGTAATGGCAAAACGGACGGAGTAGCACTGCGTGGCCTCGCAATCCCAGCGACCCGACGAGCTCGCAAAGCGGTGCTCGGAAGACGACGCTCCCAAAGCCGACGACGCGCACTCACCTCTGTGGACAGCGAAGAAACATCGTCGCACTGTGACAACGGCGACTAGTACACGGCGACTAGTACACGGCATAAGTACAAGTGCATGATTTGTGAGATGTGCTTCAAGAAAATCTACAACTTAAAGAGGCACCTAAAGGAGGTTCACGGGGACGCTGACACCAGCTGGATCACACTGTCCGCTGCCGCCTTGCATGCGATCTGTGTCCAACAGCTTTTGCATTCCATTGGGAACTTGCTGCGCCACTTTGAAGCGAAACACGGGATCGTCGCGAGGCGTGACAAGTTAAAGTTCAATTTGTTGAAAGGTAAGTGCGCTCGCTTAGTTTTCTACCTTTTGTACAGAAGAAAGATCAATAACAATGCCTACCACTGTTACAAAATACGGTGTGGGCCTAGAGCAGAAAAGATATAATTCAAGCTCTCGTTTAAAGACTAAAAATTCTGAAAAGAGACGACAATTCATTACCACAAATTTGCATCCGCACCAATGGTGACTATTGCGATTGCACAAAGGGAATACACTCGTCCTCTAATAGCACGAGCTGCCACATGAAATCCCAGCATATGTTGTCGTATCGGAAATTAATTAAAAGTGTATTGTTGGGCCAGTTTGGTCATCTCGAAAACATTGCAAAAGAAGAGGATAAGAACAGAAATGGCAACAAGCGTTACCATCTAGTATCGACTGACTGTTTAATGCGTGCTAAGAGAAGTACGAGAAGAAAGTCGGTTTGTTAATTTTTTTTTTTCTTTCCTTTTCTCTTCTAGAGGGTTGCTCATCTTTCTAGAGTATCAAAATGCAACACTGCCTTTCTTTGAATCTCAGAGTGACACATTCTTTTCGATAGTGCCACTTGTCCTGTCTCTCTCTCGTCTTTTGTGCAAATTGTTTTCGAGATGCTTAAAGGGATACTACAACGAAATTTCGGCGCTCATTTTTTTGGTCTATATGTGTTCAAAAGAGCAGTATCACATAGAACATACCAATATCTTGTTAAAAAAAAGTCTCAAAAAGGAATTTTAAAACGAATTAAACGATTAGCAAGGAGCACCTGGTGGATGTCGCTAACGCCTCGCTTGTAATGCCCGTCTAGGAACCTTGACAGCTAGTGACGGAGGTCGTCTCGCTTCCGGCCACGACGAGAGAAGAGGGGCAGGAGGAACTCCCCTCTTCCCGAGAATGCCTTTTGTGTGTCGCAGAAGTCGCTATTGTCCCCCTTCAAGATTACAGAAGATTAACCCGTCACTCAAAATTCCTACAAAAGCAGCCGCTTCGGTGGCTGGAACGACTAGGCCATCCTCTCGACGTCAGCCTCGCCGTAGCTTTGATCGTCTTGAGACGACCTACGTCACGATTGCGTTGGATGTCACGTGGTCTCTGCTGGGCCTTCTCCCAGCGCTTGCCAGAGTGGGCCGTTTATAACGAAAAATATAGCCACCAGGCTCAAAATACAAACGTGCGATTGTCATTTACAGATATTGTGGATCATATTCAACCTATTTTTGAACACGACGGGAATATTTCAAATTTCGTTGAAGTATCCCTTTAAAACTTGCTGTGCGGTAAGAGTTTATTCTTTCGTTCCCCTCTGAAAAGTGCTTTCAAAGTGGTAGTTTGTGACGTCGTATAAAGAGCTCTTTTGTTCTGCAGGTGCACGGTCCTCAAAAAGCTTGCGCACCAACTGCACTGATCAAAGCTATGCAACTCAGAGTACTCCTGGAGAAGCGGCAATCAGTTCATTGCATGACGTTTCATCGACAGCTCAGATTACCTTTTTTTCTGTAATAAGCTGCATGAGACTGTCACTGCGACAGTCTCGTGCAGTGTCGGTAAGGTGGGTTAACATTTTTTGTAATGAGCCGCCGCGAAGCAGCGTGAACGCAGGCAGGCAGGCAGGCAGGCGGGTGGGTGGGTTAATGCATACCCCGGTGATACACGCAAGACGAAATGTCCCTACAGCGTGCAATTCGCATAACAAGCATCAATGAAACGATTGTGTTGACGAAACGTGTGTTCATGAAAAGTTGTCCACGAAACATAATTTTATGAAGCGAGTTTCGATGAAATGAAAGGGACCCTTTATGGAGTGGCATGCGCTGTGTAGCCGAAAACCCATATTTGACGTCATAAACGGTGAATGTGAAACATGGATATCTTGCGTTTGCCAACAATTTTGCACCAAATAATTGTCATATTTGGATTCATGGGGTAAAACCAGGCAAGAATTGACCTCCAACTATATTTTTAGGAACCACTTCAGCTTTCTTTAAGCCATGTTACTTTACAAGCATGACTTTCACATCAGGACATCAACAGGATCGCCTCCTAAAGCACACCTGTGCATGGGAATAGCCATACTTCCAGTGTATATACCTTATAACGTCCTGAAGGAGTATTTTACCACATGCAATTCATTTAGCACTGAATTGTTTGTGCGGTAACATACTTCCTCGTTACGTTAGGTCGAGAAAGAGTTGAATGAATGTCCGAGCCCTTTTTAAGATAAAATAGAATGTCAATTTTTATTCCTCGAGCCAACACTTGTTCTCGTGCATTGACGCTAAAGCTTGTGGATAGTGTTGCAAGTCGTGTTGCAAGTTGCACCAGGGAACGGTGACACGATAGCAAGGTAGAACAAGAGGTTTAATTTGGCGATCGGCTCAGAGCCAGGTACGTGCTAGCCACGGGCGCAAGGCACGATTTCATGTGCACGAGCCGCGGAGCTCTATCTGCTCGGCTGCTCAGTGTAGCCAACATCTCCCCCATACAGAAGAGTCAAAGTCTCAGGGGAGCCTTGACGCATCGGCCACTTCTCGTCTGTGAATGAAGATTGCCTTCACATTCTATACGTGGCTCTTGAGCATCTCCGCTCTCAACGACTTCCGCAACCCACTTCTGACACCATGTTGCAAGTTGCGTCAGGAAAGGTGACACGATAGCAAGGTAGAAGAAGAGGTTTAATATGACGATCGGCTCAAAGCCGGGTACGTTCTAGCCACGGGCGCAAGGCACGAGTTCATGCGCACGAGCCGCGGAGCTCTATCTGCTCGGCTGCTCAGTGTAAGCTTAAGCACATAAGCTTAAGCACAAACCTAGCACACCTGATTGTAGCGGCTTTGGCCGTTGCCACAGGTATGTATGATGGGAGTATGGCTACCTGGGGAGTGAAGCAGAGGGGTCATAGTGTTACTCTAATATCCCGAGAGATAGCCCACCTAAAATGAATTAAAAAAAATGGCTCAAATTAAGGAGTGGGCTCACTTGCAGTGTGAAGCAATAATGGCTCTACTTGCCAGTCGGCAATGGTTCATTATATCTTGCCATAGCTAACTCGACACAATAACTAGACACGTTATCTCCCCAATAGTTAACTAAAAAGAAAAAAAAGCAAATGAAGCCAAAAACTGGGGTGGCTTACCTTTCGAGGCTGGGGCATCTCTCAGAATTTTATGGTAAGCATATATCTCACGTCTACAGTTTACATGGTACCAACACACTGGGGTTTTTCAGCTGCTCTTGTGACTGCCACTATAATGAGACTTGACTCTTTTCTAGGGGTGTATGAATACTTTATTATCGGAATACAAATAAAATAGTAAGCTCTCGGATGAATCGATTCGCGAATAAAATTCTTAGTGTTTGGTTAACCGTAGATTTAAAATGTTCTGTGAAAGATGCGCGATCGACATGGAGCCAAAGAAACTTGTGCTCCCTCTCCATTGTAGTGCGCACTTGCATTGAACTTATGAATATGCAAAACATATTTTTTTTTTTTTGTCCTTTCGTCACTCACATAGCAGGTGCACTTGCAAACACTACACATGTGGGGTGCAGTGAACCTGTTCTTGCAGACCGTAGTGTTTAGGAGTGCACCTACTATGTGGGCATTGGGAGCACAAAAAAACCATGGACTGCATGCTACAGCTAAAAGTCTGATTGGGATGTACATTTAGTGAAACAAACATGAAGATGTTTTAAAGCAGGGGGTATATGATGTGACTGACATACCACTCTTAATTCAGGCCATTTCATTTTAAGCTTTCTTTCTTCTCTGCCTGCCAGAATTCAGCGACTGGAGGGAGGCTAAGGATGGCAGAGAGCATGTTCGCTTCATTCTCCACGACGGACCCAAGGGACGAGATGAGGGTTTCCTGAAAAGGTATTACTACTGCCACCGCTCTGGATCATTTCAGAGCAAGAGGTAAATGACAACTGAGAACCCAGGGCACTTGTAAGACTAATGTGCAATGCTTAGCCACAATTCAAGCTACAGAGAAAGATGGCAAGGTGACAGTAGAGTACCAGGCAGAACACTACGGCCACCCGAAGGAACTGAAGCACCAGCGCCTCTTTACGACTGAGAAGGAGGCTTTAGCTGATAAACTAAAGCAAGGCATCCCTGCCCGTAAAGATCTGGTAGACGCACATTCTTCTGCTGGCAGTGAGATGGGCAGGCTACATTTGCTCTCAATGAAAGACATTGGCAACATCTCCGCCAAGCATGAAATTTTGACGAAAGAGCTACGGCACTGAACAAAGTCAGATTCCCCAGTCCTGTACTGACATGGAGGAAGGAAAACAAAAAGAGAGCTTTGAGCTTGCCCTGATGACTGTCCCTCAGAAAGAACGCCTCACAAAGCTTGGCCCCAAGTTTCTGTGCATTGACTACACTCATAATATAAATGGCCACAATCTGCAACTGAAGACTCATGACAGCTGCAGAAGATCAGTCAGGCATGCCATGCACATATTTGATCTCAAAGTAACTAGACACCAAGGCTATGAAACACTCCTTAAGGCCATAAAGGTAATGCATGGGAGGAAGTGATGGGCTGTGCCCAACATTGGATGCTCTGCTCGTGGCATGTAAGCCACGACTGGGCTCTGAAGTTGCAGTCAGTCCAAGATATAAGCAAACCCGTGACCGTCTTTGCGACGAGTTGTGGGCGCTGAGAAATTGCAAAGATGGGGTCAATTCCAACGACCTCCGACAGGCTTCCCGTGTCAGAAACTAAGTAAAGAGGCTGATCCAAAACTAATTCAACAAGTACAGGAGTTTCTTCAGTACTTTGGGCACTACCATGGTGGCAGAGCCTAACAGTGGGCGCTCTGCTTCAGAAAGGGCATTCCTTTTAATACTACCAACCACTTGGAGGCAATGTACAAGGACCTGAAGTCACGCTAATGCATGGAACTCACAACCAGAGGCTTGACAAGCTGTTGATGATCCTCTTCGAACTGAGCCGTGACCGGCTCTACAAGCGTCCCAAGTCGCTCGTAAAAGGAAAAACGAATCGGCATGATGCAGCCCTTTTTCGGAGGCACCAGGAGGGGATGAAAATTCCAGCATCAGATGTAGAACAGCTGCAAAATGGCAATGGCTGACTTGTAAAGTCTCAGTCCCAGACAGAGAGAAGCTACCATGTTGAGAAGGGCGACCCCCGCCAGAGTTGCGTGCTTCGTTGCAGGGACTGTGATATCTTTATCGACAGTTACAAGTGCACTTGCAATGACAGCCTGATTTCATCATCAATGTGCAAGCATATTCACGCAGTAGCTTACCTGGGGATTCATGTGACGACCGTGGAGGAGGCCGACACTGAGCCAGGTGTAGAAATGCCATCAACAACACGTGAAGCAACAGGCTTTACGTTAGATGATGAGCCACAGTCCCTCTTGGATGACATTCGGCAGGGTATTGAGGTAGGGATGGAGAAGACTCAACCAAATTCAAAGGACAACATATGTTTAACAATAAGTGGACTGAACAAGTCCCTCTCCAGGAAGAAATTGACAAGCTCTTCAAGCTCCCTGGTGTTGAAATACCGTACCAAGGCCCAAGAAGTACTTGACTCTGTTCCAGATGAGACTTCTCCAAAACCTAGGGTAATCCCTCACAAAAAAAAGATGGAAAAACAACCACGGTACTTTCCCCCCCAAAAGACGCCCTGGTTCTGGTCCCATGCATGGCAAACCTCCCACCAGCTTGGAGCAGCAGCACATCATGCAGGGCCTTGTAGCCAGGTGAGTTCCTACAGAAGGAGCAGCATCCGCTCAGCTCCATGTGGATGTTCCGAGCATGTCTGTGCTGGCCCTCAAGGAGCATGACTACTTTGCAAATCAGTAGTCGTGACAATTGGACTACAAAAAAGGGGCAGTATTCTTCTTGCAAAAAGGAATGGCGTGTTGGACAGCTTGGATTTCTTTCCACTTTGGAGAATGTCACGAGAGGCTCGAGCTAAAGGCAAGAGGGGCATCTCTTACCATCTTCCAACAGGTTACGTTAGGCGAGGCATTATATGCTGACCTTAATCGTAACGCTTTTTTAACAACCAGGGATTGGCAATTTTATTTCAGTTGATCCGGAACGGTTGTCTCTAAATTAACGGGCAACCATAGTGCCTCGAAATGCTCGTTTATAAGCGTGCCCCTCGCTGAAACCGGCACTTTTTTTTAGATAGTATTACTGCACGAGAATGTGCAGCTTTTTCCGCTTTGGAGAATGTCAAGAGGTGCTCGAGCTCGCCATTCTCCAACAGGTGGCTTATGTTATCAGCTGGTCTTAATTGGAAAAGTTTTAATGGCCAGAGGTTGCCAATTTAATTTCAAATTTATGCAGACAGGTTACCTCTAAGTTAATGAGTAACCATAATACCTCAAGTTGCCTGTTACATGCTTATTTTTTATTTTGCATACTGCTGCACGGGAATGTGAAAGTTGCAGTTCCCGCGACATACCAAATTATTTTAGTATGTGACTTATATGCTTTAGGATATAATCGTTTTCTTGCTAATAAGTGCCTATAATCACTGTTTCATTGTTTTGTGAGCCAAGAGGGAGTGACCACTGGCGACCACAAGCATGAGGATCTGCTACAGGAAGCATAATCATGTAAGTCATCCCTGTGTGCACGGGATAGTTTGTAACGGGCTAGGTGAGATTCAATTGCCAGCATTCTAAAAAGCGATAACTCAGAGGAGAGTTAAAGTACAAGCAAGCTGGTGAATTGCAGACGAAAAACTGAAACACCAGAAGGAAAAAGGACACGAAAAAAAGGATGACACACACACACACCGTCTCGAACACAGCTGAAGGTTTATTCTAAAACCACACCCTTTTATAACGGTACACCACAGTCAACGCCAAGAACCCTCACACCAAGTCACACACCCAGACTGTCAGCAAGAGCAAACAAAAGAAATGCACTCGACGCATCCATACGTGCCAAGGTCAAGCAACTGACAAAAAAAAAAATTGCATTGGTCAAAAAGTTTGTACTTGCTTGTGAATCACCATAGACGAGACACTTACACAATTACCAGCAGAACCAATACTAAGAGTTTCTTCTACCGCGCGTTTGAACTGATCTCGCTCGGCTTATCACCGTGGTGGCCATCCGATTCGGATGACAACTGTTGCAAACTTGTAAATGTACTACAGTTTCTGAATTTGGGGATTGCAGGAGAACACACCTTTTGTGCTCTATGATTTGCTCATTAACATAACATCCAGTTTAAACTATGTATGAAAACCCAGGTGCCAAAGGAATATTATAAACACTACCATATTGACATTCAGTGGCAGGATTCCTATGCGTTTTCCCGCAAACTTTTTCTACCTCTTGTGAAAGGAGTCGACCTACTTTATTTGAAGTCTTCAGAAGCACGTTCTCATGGTCACTCTCGTCGTCGTCTGAGGCCGTCTTGTCTTCACAGGCAATGTGAGACTCACTCTGAAGACAAATTCGGGATCTTCAGCATCGCTGCCGTCCGAACTGCTGCTAGGAACAGCTCTTTTTCTGGGAACCATCACCGCCATTAGCATTCCTCATGCGTGTCGCCATTTTAAATTCATGTTGCCAGGCCAACAACTGCTGTCAGGCTAAACACATTGCAAAAGTGCAAAACGCTTTTTTTTTTCTAGCACCTTTTTAGGTTGAAAATAGAAACCGAAACCAATTTTTGAACGTAACTTGTTTTTGACGCAGAGAGCAGCACAGCATGAGGGTGGACGAATGTGACTCGTCATTGGTGATATTTGTACAAACTAATAATGTGCACAGCTCGGACCAATGTAATTTAGCACACAGGTGGAATATAATTGTGACATTGTCTGTCCCTTTTTTTCTATCTCTTCTAATTTTTTTTTCCCCTTTTTTGACCACAGTGTCAACCGTCAGCTTGCCTGCACATAAACCTTTTTTTTTTTTTCAATAAAATTGGCCATTTCTAGCTATATTAATGAACAGAGCTCACTTTAGTAAGAGAAAAAAAAATAGTTTATGTGTGAAAACCAAATTACATTTTAGGCCACTGTCTATTTTGGCAAAGGGAGACAGATAATACATAAGCCAAGTTTACTTCCTTCCCATTCCCTCATTTTTTCAGTCGTAATAAATGCCACGGTGGCCCAAAAGGCTGTTTGATGATATTGCACCAAAAGGAGTGGGCAATCACCCATAAAAAGTGTTGTTTCCTTAGCTGTGGGGGGGCTCAAACTTTTAGGTTGAGCTGCACCATCTAGATCAATTCTGTAGTAAATCGTAGCACGATAGGTCAAGGTAGCAATTTATGCGGTTCTTTCAAAGGGTTATGCGCATTTATACTCGTGCTGTATTTTTACAGATCAAGAGACTTGTATGACTGAATCATGCCAGCTGTGTACTAGCTTGTTGAAGGCGCCAGATAAATGACGACATAAGCCATTGACTTTAGTGGCACACCAACTTTTTGTCAAAGTGCCCATTAGAATTGTCAGAGGCAACGCTATCAACGCAGTTTGTCTGTGCAATGCCATCAATGCAGTTTGTCTGTACCACTGCCGTTCAAAGTCCGGTAGCTAGCCCAAATAGTCTAGCATCACATACGAGGTTCGTTGGCAGAAAATGCAAGAACAAATGAAATTCAGGCACCTTGTGCAGCCTCACCAACAAATGTAGACCACATACTGCAATGGCAAAAACACAGAGGTCGGCCGCTTCTGTCCACATACCTTCTGCGCATGCGCGAGTTTGCCGTTGTGTTGATAAACAAAGCACGCCGCACGTCGGTGTATACACTCTGCCAATTTGTAATTTATGTGATGAAGATTTCTACAAAACTAAAACATATTGGCTGTTGCTGAATTGTGCCAAAAACATTAAGGGTGATTTCAAATAAGATCGATCAAGGGGTGGCTGGTCGACATTTTCAATTCAATTGATATTTTTCTGTCATTGCTTAATATCCCGTATTTGCAACTCCAACGCCCCATACGTGGCAAGGCGGTACTTCCAAGATGGCAGAAGAGACGAAGATAGATTCTCCAGGATTTCACATGCACCTGCTTGTTCACGCTTGTCACTGCGCTAAAAATGACTCATTTGTGTACAAATGCAAAGCAGTTAGGGCAGGATCATATTACAGGTGACGGAGATATTGATGCGTGGTAGAAAAACGAGCATACTGATATTTAAAAGTTGCAGAAACCCCAACTTCCAAAGCTTTGTGGTGTGTGAGCGCGTTTTAGACACCAACCACGTCACTGTTTGTGGCAACATATTTTAGAGGGTGATGAAGATATTGTGTTTGCGCTTTGCCTGGCCATTAGTGCTCTAAAAAGTGAGCCGTGCACGGTGACCATCAAGCTCCAGAAGAGCAGCGTTCACAGTATTGATGTCTTCGTGTCACAGGCACGCAACTCGCTGCTCACCTTCTAGGTTTTAGTGTGAAAACCAAATTCGAAGTGCCATCTAGATTTTCGTTTACGAACTGTGTGCTCCATAGAGTGCTGTGGAACTCCATTTAGACGCTGAGCTTCAAAACATGTATTCCGCAAAATACACTGCAGTTACCATAGCAGCCGTGTCTATTTATTGTTGTAACTCAATATATAGGCTCTAAGCATCCTAAAAAAACCTGAAACCACATTCAAGAGCAGCCGATTTCCCTAGTAAAAGTACAATCAAAAATTTTTCCGCGCCTCTCTTTCTGCATTGTGGTGCAGTACACTAGAGCGTGCCACCAGACAGGAAGGCAGCAGGGGAAGGCACATGACAGTAAATCACGAGTGACGGTTACCCGGCGGACTGACTTTTCGAAGCCGCGCATGGTGGCACCCCCTGGTGTTCTGCGCCATGGCACAGAAAGAGGGGCGTGGCACAATCTTTGATTGGACTTTCAATAGGGAAATCGGCCAGCCTTGAATTTAATTTTGGGTTTCTTAGGATGCTTAGAGCTTATAGATTGAGTTACGACAATAGACGGTATCAGAATCCACTTGAGTGTCCCTTTAACAAAATAATTTGTAATGGTTACACCCACCATGTCTAAATAATTTTCTTTGTTTCTGATTCTAAAAAGTATTAGTCTTCTCCTGGTGTTATTGTTTTAGTTATTTAATTTCAAAGATGCCTGCTCCAATAGTGAGCGTGAATGCGACCGTCTACCTTTATGTGATCGAAGATTTCTTGTGCGCCCAGATTCTTTTTCTGATGAAAAATAAACATGTTTATTTACACCGGACACTAGGCAATGACATATAAAAATATCAATTGACTTGAAAATGTTGACCAGCCATCCTTCGGTCAATCTTATCCCAAAATCACCCTTAAATTGTCCAAAACAGCCCAAACCTGCACCAAAATACCTCCAAAACTTTTTTTTTTTAATTTTTTTTTTTATATAATAAGTTTTTGTTGCGATACATGTTTTACTTTAATGTGGACTTTTCTGCTCCTAAGCTGCTTCAAAATGTACATGTTCTCCTCTTGAGCTGCTCCGAAAATTTTTTACAGAATTGGTTTTAACTGTCTTACTTAGTCATGGGCAGTAGCCATACTCAAGTTTACCTTAAAAGGACACTGCCCCCCCCCCCCCCCCCTCACAAATTTTTTTTTTAATTTTTTGCCAGGCGTTTGAATACTATTTAAGTAATATTTTGCTACAGAGAAGACAGAATGCACCGACACCGTGAACGACAGTTCTGAAGTAGAGGTCCCACGCCCGTCATCCGCGAGTCCCACGAAACGTGAAAAGACGCCATGTTGAGAATTATGCAGTGAACGCACAGAATGCTTCCAATTGTCTGTGCAACCTTTTTTTTTTTTTTTTCTTTTTTTCAATTGACATATTTGCAGCTTTTTGGGAGTTACAAAAAATGTTTCATTTTTTTTATACTTTTAGGATTCACTGTGTGCCTTCAATGACCCACGACTTTGATTAAATTTGATGGTCGTGTCTAAACCTTAGAAAACTGCCTTGGAAAAGAGAGTGAGCGCGACTCGATCGGCAGTTTTCGGGCGGAAAGAAACCGAATTTCGAGCTGCAAATTTTGTTCTAGGTAGTTCGGCTCTCATATGTCACATAAAACTAAAAACCTCGGCGAGCATAAATACCCTGTCAGTGTCCCTTTAAAGGGTCCCTGAAAAGAAAAGTTTTTTTTAAACAGTCTGGTTGGGACACGCAAGTCAAAAATCAAATCTTATGCCAAAAAAAAAAAAATAAAATTTTTCTAGAGCAATATTGACGGCGGGAGTTTATTTGAAATTTTGTGTGCAAAGCCCATGAAGTCACGGGTCATTCCGGAATAACCATCTCGGTCGTGAAGGCAAAGCCGGTCCATTTCTACTCCATGTGCCCGAAACGCCAAGAGAAAACAAGTGGAAAGGAGGTAACTGCCGACTAAATGGCGTCTTGTGCCGTCATTATTGGTCTAAACGAATTTTTTTCGCATAAACTAATCTTTTGACACGCGTGTCCCAACCAGACTGTTCAAAGACTAACTTTTTTTTTTTTCTTTTCAGGGGCCTTTTAAGGTGGATTGCAGCAGATGCTACGAGCCAGCACAACTAATTCTGTGCTGAGAGTGTGTTGGGCGACCTTCCGGCTTGGCGCAGCAATGCGCAATGTCCATGACACTCTGGCCGGGCGTGATGGCTTCTAGCATCAGCTGCGCTCCATCTTAATGCGAAATGGAGTGTGATTACTAGTAATGCATTACCGGTCAGTTGTTACTTTTTCCAATAGCTTTGAACTGTAACGTGCTACTCTTTATTAGCGGTACTTTGTAACTGTAACACTTGCTTTTTTTATTGGGTAACTGCAACTTTTAAAGTGATGTTCTTTAAAGCCAAGTTCCATGTTCTTTAAATCCGAAAAAGAGGGGGGGGGGGGGGGGGGGGGGCTTGCTGTTTATTCTTTTCTTGCAAATTTGATGTTATTCATTGTCTATTTTTGCTGTTGACCGTAATGCATGCAGGGTTTCTCAGGGCTTGTGTCATAGGAGTGACAGCATATCTATAAGACCCATGGAGTGCTAAATGGCACACGTAGAAACACTTTTCAAAGGAGGAAGCAGCCTTGCAAACAGATCAGTGTAGTCTGTATTCAAGAGAACACGAAATGAAGATGTCAAGACAGGTTGTTTGTTGTAAAACTGGTGTTTTTCTTGTTAAAAAAAACTTGAATTTCTTATTTGCTTTTTTCCACCGATTTTGAGAAACACTTTTTAAGGGTTACTTTTCAGTGTTTGCCGTCATACCAAAAACCTAGAACTTTACCTATAGTACATTGTTTTGAAATAACCTTTTAAGCCACCCTGGGGTGCTGCCGTTTTGGTGCCTGCCACCTGAGCCTTTTTTTCCCTGAACACTCATCATAGGTTAATACTAACCCTCAAGGAGGGAAGCACCTTCAATCTGTTGAAAATGCCAAAGTATGACAGGTGAGCAGCAGGTAACAAGTGATGAAAATTGCTCATCTGGACAAAATGTTTTTGGAGTCGAAATCGAGAGAAACATTTTTATTAGGTTTTCATTTGGCTGCCCTTGCAACAAACCTTACCTTGATCTTGTGTTAAACAATAAAGCTATTTGTACTGGACCCAGTGAAGTATATGTGATTGAATAGAGGTGGAGCCATTGGAATGGAAAGGTCAAGGTCCTGTGTAATTCAGTTCACTGACCATTGCAAGAAAATGTAGCATCCGCTGGTGGATTCTGTGACCTTTTGCTACAGCAATTATTGATTATGTGCAGGTTCCTGGACCTCGAGACCGGTGGCCTTGGAGATGTCAGCAAGGCTACGGGGTGATTTGCTCACCGCGAGGCTGTGCAATTTAGTGGCATGGAACTAGTGCCTCATTTCGGAGATCTCCATGGCGAGTGAACAGTGTAAGGCTGGTGGGGCAAGAAGTTTATTGGAAGGTTTTGTCATGCCATGGTGATCAACATTCATGACAGGTTCATCTGCCGAACTAGCTATGCAATAGAGGCAAGCCTGCTAAGTCACTGGGATTAGTCGTCAGTGTGTGGCGCAGAGGACTTCTAGGGACAAGTCCAGGAGACGAACATGCAATATTTATATTCTGTCTATATTTTGGTGAACCAATGTTACTGTTGACATTTAAGTGTGGGACATTTCGCTTCTGCGGCAAAAGATATGTCAGGCGTGTAATGGGGTCCCACAAAAAATACCTATGCTTTGTCTTGAGCTATGTTCATAGAGACATGGCAAGGGGGGGCCAGAAGACTGATGAAAGTTGTGCCGGTGATGGTCACAGTTTGGGAGATGTTGCGGATGGCTATGTGATGGGGTGCTGTGACCTTTGATGGACAACTGTTTCACTGAGTCAAACTGTGGCAGTGTTTCTGCTATCTTGAGAGGCAGCATGGTAACGCATCAACACAGTGACAGATTTTACTTTAAACTCAAAATGGGGCACAGGAATAAAACAACTTGCTTGCCTCATCGAGGCACGTCTTCAAATGTGAACTAATATCTTGTCTTTTCAGTACCACCTTTTCTTTCTTTATTTTTTTTCTTCATATTTTTTTTTTTATGTCTAGGCAAAAGAATCATGTTAAGGTCCGTTCACACTCTTGCAACCGAGTACGACCGAAAGACACGAGACTGGTTTGTAAGCCTTTTCGGACCTCTTAGGACCGGATGCGCTGCAGTGGAGCTGGTCCTAAGACGAGACTTGTTAAAACCTCTTAAAATTTCTTGGGACGAGAGAACACGCTTTGTAATTTTCCAAGAAAAAACCGACCTGTGAATACACCTTTGACGAAAACTTTAGATTGCTACGTGCAGGCGTTAATTTTTACAGTCCATTTTAGGTCGAGCCTGGCGGCTTGGACCACCCTTTATTTGTAAAAGGTTCATAAAATTGTTCATTGCAAACGCATATCACCAATCTTAATAATTAATGAGTCATATTTTGACCAGTGGAAAAACCACATCTTTATTTTCACTCGATTTGGGTATGTTTACGATAAATATTGAGCGAGTAAAATACAATTAAAAAATTGGGTTTGTAGAACAAGTAATAAATAATGGGCCAATTGGTTACGGACGCCAGCAATTGACTCCGTAAGTGTGACGTCATGAGTCCAAACAAACCGTTGCTAGGGTCGATGTTGACAAATACATGTGGCTAGGTTTCGCTATGAAAACCCGACTGTTCAAAAATCAGGAGTAGGATTTAAACTTCTAAAATCACAGATATAGAAAGCTTGTATGTTTAAACAGAAGTGTGCAAATAATCGCTTGTTTCTGGAATAATTACAACTGCAACTTCCGGTCCTCAAGATGCCTGCAGCGGACTACGAATACAAGAAGTATGCCGTCTGCCACAAGCTGGCACCATCGTTTGAATCGTGTGAATAAAGACTATATTCTGATATTGTATTTGTTTGAAATATAATGACTTTCAGACACTTATAAGAATTCATAGTGGGGTGCGATGCAAAATATGGTTTATTGAAAGTCCGGTCGTCGATCGAGATGATCGTCTGCTAAAAGATTGCATTGCACCTGCGAGAAAAGCACTTCAGGCAACCGATTGAGATCCCAAATATTTTTTTTTTTTTTGCGGACTCGCGCTATGTAAAAGTGCTTCATAGCTGGTTGTAACCATCCCATGAAGAAAGGTTCTTGCAGTTTCTTCAGATTCCCGCAATACCCCAAAGCGTGAGAGAACTGGATAAAAACCATAAGGTGAGTACATGTAGCACTGGTGGAAAGTTGCCTCGATGTAAAAAAAAGGGCCAAACCAACCAAGAGCATGTAAAACCCATATTCTGTTCGGTCATATTGTTTGAAAATATGGCGGTATATTTATATCTTATTACTATAATATTGATAAAGTAGTTGCATGCAAGTAGTAGTGAGAGTAAAATCCAGATCAAACTTTCAGTAGTCTTAAAGGCCCGTTCACACTCTTGCGACCGAGAGAGACCAGACCGGTTTTTAAGCCTCTTGCGATCTCTTGGGACCAGCTCCGCTGCAACGCATCCCGTCCTAAGAGATCACAAGAGGCTTAGAAACCGGCCTGGTCTCTCGGTCTTCCTCGGTTGCAAGACTGAACGGTGCTTAAGGCCTGTTCACTCTTGCAATTGAGTACAACTGAGAAAGACGAGACTTGTTAAAACCTCTTAAAATTTCTTGGGACGAGAGAACACACTGGCGCCATCTGTGCGGCGACTTTGGAACTGCATTTAACAAAAAGCGAAGGTTTTGCGGTATTTCCGAGGTCAAATGTGCGTAATACCTTTAAGAAAGGCTTGTTTAAAACGTTGACAAAAGTTTTTCGAGCCAAGAAAGATAGGATAATGCGCGACAAATAGAAAATATGCCGGACCGCCAAGTTTACACTGCTACGCAATAGATGGCGCCAGTGTGTCTTCTCGTAAGAGGATTCAAGAAACCCAGTTTTAAGAAGTTGCAAGACTGTGAACAGGCCTTAACAATGTTATGGTAAAACGGCGTTCAGATGTATGCCTGTGTCCATGCGCTATCCGGTTATTTTGTTTACGCTTATATATCTACCTTTAATGACTTTTTCTTTTTTTTTTTTTTTCATTGTGCTCTTCATGTGTTCTCCTGTTTGGACTAGCTTTTTTTAATTTAGTACAATAATAATAATAATAATAATAAACGACTTCCCTCGAAGGTGTAAGATTGCTGGCCTGCACTACGCCGGTAACGCACCTCGGGTCGTCGTCGTAACTGATTTGATTGACGCGGGTTGATTTTACGGCATTTTCGCGCCGCCGAACAAAGCTATATTCTTCACAATGAAAAAAAAAAAAAAAAAAAAAGGCACATTGCCGAAGCTTTTACGGTCATGATGATGCACTTGTTTTCGTCACTGGTTTACAGAAGCAACTCAATGAAGATGCCCGCTGCAACAGAGGTAGGCCAGCAAATCTATTGTGTCGTCTGCTACCAAAGCAAAGCGGAATGGCTTTCCCCGTCGCAATACGACACAGAAACGACAAGAACATCTTCATAATTAGATATCAAGAAGTTAGATTGCTCACAAAAAATTATTTACTTGTAAGCAAAAGTTTAGCCTCATGTGGAGTCTGCATGCATTAGTCTATAGCAACGCCCCTAGCAACGGTTTGTTTGAACCCAAACGACATGTTGTGACAGTTTCCCCGCAGACGCTGGAGGCCTTTCAAACGAAAAAAAAAAAACGGTCGTTTTCACCAACTTGCAGCACGCTGAGGTGTCCAACGTGGAGCTGTTGCACTGGAGCTTCCTGGTCGCCTTGGAAATGGATTAAAAGTATGCTGTGTCTAAAGGTACGTCGGACGTATCTGGAATGGGGAGTCTAAAGGTACGTCGGACGAAGCCGCAAGTTCGAGTCTAAAGATACGTCGGACATATTGTAAGCGCCCCAATTCTGTACAAGGAATTAGAGATCGGAGACATGCGATGTCTGCTCTCCATCAAGGCCGAGCGTCTGAAACGTCGCTTGTTTCCTTTCCCCTTTTCTTTGCTCGTCTTATCCACGCTTTTAGTTTTGTGCCCACCTTTACGTGCCGGCAGCACACCACCTTCTGGTCCCCAGCACCCGGTTTCGTCATCAGTTGGTAGATGGCGGCACACAACGGCACTTGCGCTACCGCGCAGGCGCCTTAGAATATAGGCACAGGTAAGACGTTGTGTGCTCTGTTTTTGTTTCGTCGCCGTTCGTTCGACTCCGTCGTCTGACTTGCAAGCGCACCTCGTTTTTGTTTTTGTTTACGCGGTTTAGCCCATATGTTCAGGCGTTCATAACTTTGCTGTCCACCATGAGTGCGAAGAGGACTTTGTACACAGTGAAGTTAGAGCGGACGGTGATCAGGTATGCGAAAGACAACGGTAACCACGGCACTGCAGAGCATCTGCGATATCGTGTGATGCGGTGGAAAAGACAGCGGGTGTAGGTATTCAAGGGCGTCGCGATCCGTAAAAAGTGTTCGGGACGGCACAATAATGCAAAAGTCGACATTTGGAAATTGAGAAGAAAATTCGTGAGTTTGTTTGCAGCTAACTGGACGGGGCCACCGAGGACTCGTCGAGTCGTACTGAGAGCAACTGGTTGACCGTGGTGCGCGGTGAGAATTGACGGCGAGCAGGTTAATTCTTGTCGGGGTTATTTTTATTTGTTCTGCGACTTTTTTCTTATGAATTTCCTATAATCAATTGATATTTCTTGCACAAATGTTGTAATTACGGAGCATTTCATGAAAGTAAGCACCCCCCCCCCTCGTTGCACATTGCGGGTGTGAAACGAAAGGAGTGCATAGAATGAACTAATTACAGTAGCAATGAGAAATAAAGCTGGAATGAAAATTGACAGTGGGGTCTCAGTGAGGCATGCTATGACCCGCTGTGATACAACCTTTCCCTACCGCGTCTACGTCCGACGCATCTCCCGGTTCAGCGCATGTCCGTCATGCATCTTAAAGGCCCGTTCACACTCTTGCGACCTCTTAGAACCAAGTTCCTTGAAACCTCTTACGACGAGAAACCAAACTGGTGCCATCTATTGGGTAACAGTGTAAGCTTGGCGGTCCGGCATACTTTCTATTTCGCTCGCACATTATCCTTTCTTTCTTGGCTGGAAAAACTTTTGTCAACGCTATAAACAAGCCTTTCTCTTAGGTATTACACACATTTGACCTCGGAAATCCCGGAAAACCTTCGCTATTGTAAAATGCAGTTCCAGGGACACCGCATAGATGGCGCCAGTGTGTTCTCTTGTCCTAAGAAATTTTAAGAGATCTCGTCTCTCTCGGTCGTACTCGGTTGCAAGACTGGGAACGAGCTTTAAGGCTTCAGGGTCTGGATACGTCCGATGCACCTTTAGGCTCCTTGTTCCGGATACGCCCGACATACTTTTAGAGTCCTCGTTCCGGATACGTCCAACGTACCTTTAGACTCCTCGTTCCGGGTACGTCCGACACGTAGCTTTAGACACAGCGTTAAAAGTATTGCTACGTCTCACGCGTCCATCAGGTTGAAAACACGGTAGGTACCGGGAACCCGGGGTGCTATGTTGCGCTTTTTGCACTCCCAGGAGACTTGGAAAAGGGAAGTGACGTCAACGACTAGAGCAAATGCAGATTGGATGTTGACAGAAGAAAATAAAATCAACATCCAATCTGCATTTGCTGCGTTGTTGACGTCACTTCCCTCTCCCTAGTCTCCTGGGAGTGCAAAAAGCGCAACATAGCCCCCCTGAGCACCGGTATTAACGTGTCGGAACGCTTAAACGCCTGTCACCCGTCGTACCTAAGTAACTGAAAAAGAACAGTGATCATATTCAACTCGCATGCGTCCTAATAGGCGCCCAACTCGGTTAGAAAGTCTCAGCGCACCTCCCGCACTTGGTAGCCACGACCGCATAGTAGCTCAATATCGTAACGTGATAAGCGAAGCACTTTCACGTAGCCGAATTGAGGTAAGAGATCTTCACTATCTTCAGTTTTAATTTAACGTTTCGAATAATTATGTTCCTCGCACAAGCTCCGAGGCCTGTACGCGTGGAATGCCCAATTCGGCTTCTTGAAACTAGTAGTTCCATACGACGGTGTAATGTTCTTTTACAACGCCTACACACATGTAGATGTTACATGCTTACTGCATTCGCGGGACACGGGTCTACTTACCGATCTCTGAGGGCTGTAGGTGCGACGACGAAGATAACAGCGGCGAAAGGCGTCATCAAAACTTAGAACGCAAGGAAAAAAATCCACGGTGAACCGTTACAACATGGCGCCGGGACGTTTGTAAACATACTCTCGTTACCGTGCGCTGGTTCCCCACCGGTTTCGAAACAAAAATGTGTTTAGCATAGTTAAAATTATTTTCGCAACGTAGATAGCTTGATCATTTGAGTATATATATTGCCATTTTTTTCTTTAAGTTAAATTGAGAGCTTAATGACTTCGCAATGAAGCACACTCTCATACTCTCGCAGATCAGCATAGGTTTGCTTCACCGAAAGACACCGCTGTATTGCAGGGAAAGGTGCTCGCTGGCATTTGCACAGGTGAAAATGTCCTGTCCAAACACCCCTTCGGACAATACAGTAAATATGCACTGTTAAGGTACTGGTTGTGGGGGTGGCTTGTCTGTGGCCAGAAAGGCACACAGGGTCAGTTGAAAATGATTATTATGGAATAAAAATAATGGAAAGCAGCCTCAGACACAAGGATGAAGTAAAGGCGCTAACACGACAAAACAACGGATGACCTTCAAGTGTAGTTTATTTTATGAAAATGAAGCATCTAGTCTTATTACATTAACACAAACATGCATGCCAACCAGGCAGCTGGCAATCACAGGGATAGAGCCTTACAATGTGGCAGTGCTAAACTCCAATTTATGAATAAAGATTTTCTTTTTTTCACTTTGTTTTGTAGCAGAGGCTGTTTCCCATCATGATTAGTTTCGCTCTTACCAACTAGCCCAATCTACCACCCTACTTCAGCTCATTATGGGGGACTAGTTACACTTGAAGGATCTGCAATGGCAAGATGAATGCTAGCGAGTTCATTTCATTGCCAGAAAATTGATGGTGTTGTCTCAAATGGTAACAATGCACGCTCATGAATGAACTGTGTGAGACCATCAAAGTGCAGGCAGTGACTCTACTTGATATCTGGGGACTGAAAACAACTGCCTCAGGCTACTCTTAGAGGGAACCATAGCGGTGATCAAGGAACCGGTACAGCAACACGAGCCCAGATTACCTATGATATGTAGGTCTTCCATTCCCTTTGTAACAATATACAGGACACCAGATTTTGGGTCAGTACTTGTATTTCAGCATCGAAATACACATAAAAATATATTTCTGGTCTCGCAATACATTCAAGGGAATAATGTATCCCGTTACATTTTCAACTGGGCTTGCCATGTCATCGTCCCAACTACCAAAATAGTTATCTTCTCCAAATGCTTTATCAGCTTGCACAAGCAGCTGACACCAGTTGAGAACAAGCTAAAAGGTTGTGAGGAGATACTTCGTAAAATGGCAGGACGGCGGCTTGTGATACTACAAAGCCAGTTTCTTTTAGACAATATAACATAAGATTATCATATCAACCAAGTAGTATGCCTCCACTGTGTAGCCCTCGAGCTCGGTCGGGGATGCCAAGCTTCTTCGCTTTGCACTTGCACGCTCGCACAAAGCTCCACCGCTTCGCCCGACATGCTTGTATGAAGCTTCATACTTTAGCACTACAGCACTATGGCAAAGCATCTTAATATTTGTGGGGGGGGGGGGGGACTCAACATTTTGCAGACCTATTTCCAGACTTCGAAAATATTCAAAATTACCAAATAATCCTATTCGATTCAAAGTATGAATCGAATACGGCATTATTCTATTCAATATCTAAAAGTTATGAATATTTGCACAACCGTAGTCTTCAGCATTATTTACAATTTACAAGGAAGCTGGTATCATGTCTACATTTCACGGGATCTTCCGGGGTCTTTTGTTCAAATCGCGATTATAAACTTTTCGACTTTGACCCAATGGAGACTACCCATCTGCACACTCCGCAAGGACAATTCACTGAGGTGGTCATTGGCCATCATTGATCGAAGTCTGTGTTATGTCAATTTGGGCCTACTGAGAGAGTGTTCACCCCTGAAGTTCGCAACCATAAAAAAATAAAAATCTAAAATGGGTACATGAACACCTAGAAATGAGCCTCGAAGCTTTTCTCAGACTACAGTTTTGGAATGTTTCTTACAGAAGCCTTCCTTTTTGGCAAATAAAAGAAACTGTTCTAGTTCATCGGGGAAATCGTCCGACAGACCAGATTTATCCATTGCCTGGAATCACCACTGTTTCAACGAAAGTGTGCCGTGGTCGGCAATAAAAAGTAATTTGTAGGCAGACTTTGCTGTAAGCAGTGAAACGAGTTTTAAGTGAATGCAGAAGGTTGTCAATCATGCCAATATTGGTATCACAGTGGAAGTTCAGTGAGGCATCTTGAGGGTGAAGGTTGCCATTTGTGCCGATCGGTTTGCTTTCTTTTGATAGTTGCTTTGTATGTAGTTCCCAATGTTTCCTTCGCTGCCTGTTTCATTTCATTGAATCTTTCTCTTAGACCGGATACATAATCACTCAATAATTTCGTCAGGTTTACAGCTTTATTCAATGTGAGTGTCTGATTATGTAGCGTTCTTCTGATGGCATTGAAGCATTGCAACACCCTGTTCATGAACTAAGCTATAACTGTTGCAGTCATACCCATAGTCTTCAACCATAACCCATGTCTCTGCTAGTTCTTCCTGACCTTCAGACCCTCAAGGCGACCCTAATTTCCTGAGCGAACAGAGCTTCATAGCATCCGCTCGGGCTGACCACCACGTGTCTTGGAGTCGCATGGGCATGAATACCGTATCAATCCGTTTCAAATCAAGCCTGCAGAATATTCCGGCGAAGGGTAGACGCAGAAAAAACATTTATATACGCTGTACGCAACAGTTAACACAGGCCACTCTGCGTGTTCTGTGTCGAGCGCTCTCGTGCCAACGCCAGCTGCTTTTGATTCAGCAATGGCCAGCGGTTGTGATCAACCTGGCCGTGTTCCGAAATTTACCCAATCTCACTTTAGAGTAACATTTTCATACCTTGGTGTTCGAAAACCTTTTTGCGTCCAGCGTTGCTCAGCTTGAAATGTCACGTGATATGACCCGCAGGAGTAGCTGGGATCCAGTCGAGTAAGGTTTGGAACACGCCCCCTGTCAGGGGGAGATCCCCTCACAGAGGGCCCTATTCATTTGAGCAGTTAAATATGGGTAATCTGGGCTTGCCCCTGAAGCGACAAAAGGAATATGGTGAAATGCTGGCCTGTTACATGCAGGCGCCAATTGTTCCGTTTGATTTTAAAGCACTATCCGGCACCTTGACTCAATCTTTACAAACAAGTGTTCTCAAACTTTCTAGTGACAAGGAATCCTAGCAATCTTCAAAAGGTGCTGCACCAAGCACGTCATGCTTCGCACCATCGTGCTCACAAAAGTTTCAGTGCTTTGCTCCGCCACGCATGCATCACGCTTCACCGCTATACACCGGTGCGTTGCGGCGGTGTATAGTGGTGAAGAAATACTTTGAAAATATTTAAAGTTGCCGAATACTCCTCACCAATTCAAAGTGCGAGTAGAATATGGCGTCATTCGCTTCAATATTCTGAATTTTAGAATATTTGTACAACCCTAAAATATGTCGTAAAGTAACGCTCAGGCACCCTCTACAAATCCGGAGATCATCGCAAAAAAGTGGGAGACTGGCACTTGATATGCTATCAATGTTATCTATATTTCCACTGTCCATATTTTTTTAGATGTTACAACATTTAGGGGTGGGTGCTTAGTGGGGAATCGGCGGATGCTCGGTATTTCATGGTATACATAGCATTTGAGTACAAATATACAGTTCCTCACTTTCCCATAAAAAAAATGAAATATATTTGGGTGCTTGCGGAATCCAAAAGACCAGCCTATGGAACCCGGTTTGGGAACCCCGGGTATGTAATCTGCACCAGTCTGTAAAGAGCTTCTCAAAGCAATTTTTAAGAAAATAAAATTTAACCATCTAGAATGGCCTAATCTAAAAAAGGCTTCCAAATATTCTGTTTGTAGCATTCATAATTAGGCACTGAACTTTTCGCTTGATGCTTTGATTGACTTTGTTTCTTCTTATGGGAAAAAGTGCACATCAACAATGACACTCAGCGACATGGTTCGCAAGCTACCCAACCAATGGTGTGCGAGCCCCCCTATCAAGGACGGCGCCAAGGGAAGGCGAGGGGTGGAGGGCGCCTCCCCTAAAATTTCTTCTGCCGCCCCAAGGTGAAGCAGCTTTGTACACAAATAATTGCCTATGACGTCGGCTTGAAAACCCAATGTAATGAGTGTCCAGACTTTAGAGCTGTTCCTGCCTTTTATTATTTATATTATTTTTTTTTTCTATTAACTTCCAGCCACTGCAAGTCGTACCGTGGGCGAGTAAGCTATCTAGCGCCTTAGAAAAAGCAGCTCCCCTTTGTGACGCCTGCTGGCTTTTCTCTCCGCATTCCGCTGTGTGGCGCTTATCTTCAGCGGAGACCGGAGACGTGAACGAAGGGGAGCTTAGTTAAAGTCAAGGTCAGAGGAATTCCAGACTGTCTAAGAAAAGGAAGCAAAACCTGGTTGTGAGTCATGAGCACAGGGGGCAGAGGTCAATGCTGTAATAACCCCCCCTCCCCGCCTCTTCCTTCTCGTGTCTCCTCATTTCCCTTTTCAATGAGCACACCGCATAAGCTATAAGCTATCTTCGAAAAGCCCGTGGGCGACGGCACCTCAGAGCAACCCCCCCCCCCCAATTTGGTTGGCCTCCCCACTGCCCCCACCCATTATGAAGATGCTGGTGCCATCCCTGCCCCCTATAGTTGAAATGATATTAAAACAGCACAAAAAAAAAAAAAAGACGAAGAGAACACACACACAGCACTCACTTACAACTGAAAATTTTTCTTCTGCATGGTACAGTAAGTAAACATAAAAAGAAGCAGATAGATATTATTTCAAAATGACCAACCAACTAGCCCAACTACACAATTTGTTGCAGCCCTTCTATGGCCCTGAATTCATTCCTTACCATGAGAAAAGTGATGATGTTTCAAGCATCTCTGCAGATCCCTTTATTTCTAAAGCTATTTGGCATATACCACAAAATCCCGAGGTATGTACTTCCCAGTCAGCAACATTCACTTGTATCCCGCCACAACTAACTAGCCGCATTTGTGCCAAGGCCATCACTGATCCCAACACTGCTATTACTAGAAGTGGGCTATCTTTCAGAGTTTAAAAAAATAAAGCAAATCAAGCCAAAAATAGGGGTGGGCTACCTCTTGAGATTTTACAGTAGAGCATTATGACACATCAAAATGCAGGCACTGAGATGCTCTTTAGAAATAAACAAACTGAATTAACGCATCAGAAAGGTTCTATTGGCTGGAATTGCACATAGGGGAAAAGGGACACTAACTGCCGAATTCACAAACCTTTATTCCAATGGAGGCAATCCCCCCCCCCCCCCCCCCCTTTGTCAAGGAAGGCACAAGGGACGGCACTGGCCAATCGCGAGGACGGCTAAGCAGCCTAGGCCGCCTATCCGTCGTCGCGACTGGCCAGCACCGGCCCTCGCACCTTCCTTGAGGAAGTGGAGGGGTGCCTCAATTGGAATGAGGTTTGTGAATTTGGCGGTAACTTAGCTAGTGCTAGGGTCCGGCAAATTGGAGACATACACCTCCCCACTGGCCACAGGCTCCACCTGTGGACTTTGAAACGTCAGAATGGGGCACAGCACCCACCAAGGATAGAATTACCATAAAGTTTTGCGAGTGCCTTGCCGAGCGCAAATGCAAGGCGCTGGATGCCGCGGACACGGCACACGTTGTACTGGTCGGTAGCCAGCTTGTCGAGGTTGACAATGTTGCCTCGGTTGAGGAACAGGTGCTGAAACATCAGCGAATGAATTAAATAATAGCATAAAACAAAGCTGGGTTGTGACCACTCCTTGGAACCACACAGGACACATGTGTCTAACTTGGAAGCAGTCAATAAACATTATAGGTTTAGGTAGGGGTCAGTATTTTAGACCTAATTGTGCAGCTATTTTTTTGTGTGTGGATGTGTGCGTGCAGGGGGTGGGGGTTGTTAACTCATTGACAATGTTTTATGGGGCTGGTTGCTCATTATTGGGGTCCACCTTCGTTTAGTCAGGGGAGGATCTAACTGTAAACACAGACATTAAGGTGCAGTACTTGGGCTCGCCTTCTGAGTTAAATTTCTGTTTTCCTTCGGGACCGGTTCTCGTGTGCCGAGTTCACTGTGATTTTAAGAAGTGACTTGGACAGTTTCTTATCAAAAATGTTTCAGAACTTCCCAATGCATAGAGGCAGTTTCAAACTCTGTCAGAGTTTAAAACTGCCTTCTATACATGTTACTTTCACAAATGGTATACTCTTTTTTTAATCTATCTTGTTATATTCCTGACATATTTTCCTGTTTTTTGGTTTTTTAAACTTTCAAGGAACTTACTGTCTACAACTGTATCCATCGCTGAGTGCTCATAAAAGAACAGGTGTAATAGAATACATTTCGCTGAAAAAGAAAAAAGATAAATTTTCTGGTGTATATTAACTGATAAAAACCAAATATTAGATTTCGAAATAAAAACCGATAAATGTAGGCCGAATTCGAAAAAAAAATAAAAAACGAAAACTCTGATCTTGTTTAGTGTTTTCGAAGTTAATTTTTTTTGCTCAAATTCGGGGGTATTTCTTTTTCAATGTTTAATTTTTCCCACAGATTCTGTGTTTTTGTGTAAATTGGTTGAAGTCATAACCAATTTACACAAAAAAAAAACAACGAATCTGCACAAAAAATTACCCCTCCCCCCCTTCCTCCCAAAAAAAAACAATTTGAGGAAAAAAATACTCAGAAAACACAGAACCCAAGTTATCGGTAGGTTGTGACTTTCCAGTTTTAACCTAAAAATACTGAGAAACATCCGCCGATGACGAAAATGCAAAATTGGTTATAACAGAAAAACACAGTTTTTGGGGACGATTTGGCGCTAGGCGATTACTATTTTGGTTGAAACCCCGAATTCTAGGCATTTGCTGAGCCTGTTTTGCTACCAAGAATTAAGCAAACTGGGGTCTCCAATCAGTGGGATCGCTGACCCTGGAGGACAAGGGCCCGAGACGTCAGTCAGACGGTTACTACCAACAGTCACAACGCCCTTGTTGATTCATGTCAGAGGACGGCAGATAAGAAAGCAACTTGTCCCAAACCAATTTTTTTTTTCACCGATCATCTCTGTTTTTAGCGTCTACATCAGACAACAAGTCGAAAGCAGGGTTGTGCAGTATCGCAATACAAATGTATTGCAATAGTACTTCAGAAATACATTTAGTGTCTGCAGTTCTCTATTGCAACACTTTTTTTTCACCAGTATCTGTATTTCTGTATCGAAATGCATTTGGGATGTTTCTCGGTACCGCAATACAATCAAGACGGGATGTATTTCGTTACATTTCTTGAGAAATAACCCCCACCTCTGGATAAAAAAGATGACAACTTTTTTGTTTTGCTAGAGAAGGCCAGAGGGCATTATGAGGGGTATGTTGTGCCTTTGCTATCATGCGAGCCTAGGTTTGACCAGAACTATTTGTGTCGGACATTAGCAACCCCTTTCTTTATTCTGCAAAACTGAAGAATGTTTTCCACCATGCTTCTGCCCCCCCCCCCCCCCCCCCCACACACACAAAAAAAAAAAGTCTGGACGTCTTTTTTTTTTTTTAAGGGGACGCGGGGCATTGTTACTATGCTGACCAAGGTTCATTCAAATTCCCAGAAATATTTGTCTATGCGACCTCTTCTCTATTCTGCGAAGATAAGAAATGTGCTGTGAGTGGCACATTTCTTAAAGGGTAACTGCAAAGAAAAAAAAGTTTTTTTTTAAATAGCCTAATTGGGACAAGCATGTCAAAAAACAATTTTTCCGCGAGAAAAAATATTTTTAACAGCAATATTTATTGCGTGAGACTCGTTTTAGTTTGCGGCTATTTCGTCTGTTTTAAATCGCGCGCCACGAAGTTGTGATTATGTGACGTCAATCCCAAAAGGTTCTCATTGGCTAAGAGTTTGATTGACAGCTTAGGTCTTGGTTGTTAAACCTTTGTTATATGTTGCAATTTCCTTTTGAGCGGCATATTTTTACGTTTAAAGAATAACCCATGTGATGAGAGTTATTATTCTTTACAAAAGGTTTACAAGACGGGCACTTCCGTTTGGATTCATACAAACAAAAGCTTCGCCATTCTTTCATGGCCGCCGAAGTCTGCTCCCGCCTGTCTCGCCTACCTCGACTAATCGTTTCGCCGAAGTGATCAGTGTTTCGTCGTTTCGTGCTAACCCAGGTGCTTGAGTGAGACTTCTTGAAGTGAAGTAGTGTGTGTTTAGCAGCTGTCGCAGGTGTTAGTGATAGGAAGCGACGCGGGGTTTTGGCATTCATAGCGCGGTTCTTGCGTTTTCCTCTTTGCTTGCTTAGCGTGCTTTTTTTTTTTTTTTTTTTTTTGCTTGTTTGTGCGTGCAAATGCTGACTTTTCGGAGATGTCAGATGCGTGATCCCGACAGTGAGCCTTCCAGCAGCCATGTCGCCCCGAAAGGAATGCTATTTGGCTGGAGGCAACCGGGCGTTCGCGTAGCGACCAACGTGTCTAGTTCTCGTCATATCGCTCTGGAGGCCGTCGAGATTCGCCCCGTGTGCACCTAACGTCCGCGACTAGACAGAAAATAAAAAAAAGCACTATGTCCACTACATAAAAATGGTCTCAGTTCATGCATCTGTAGGCAGGTACGAAATCGTGCCCAAATTTATTCACACCGCAAGATGCAACACGTCGCTGTGCAAACGCAGTCCAACACGAAGCATAAAAACGGCAGATTTAGGACAACAATGCGGAGTCCATTGTTCAATTAAAACGACGTAATTTTGTGAAAACGCCCGCAGCTTTTTACTCACGGTATGCGTCGGGAAACTTCCACATTTTGAAACAGAACGAGGCAGATTTACTTTTAAAAACGCTCCCAGCGTCCTCCCGGACCAATTTGACTGGATCAGCTGACGACGACGGGACTTAACTGGTTGAACGTCAACCCCACAACAACCAATTTGCGCTCCGTGTTAGCACCGCATTACACACACCACAAACGTTTCAGCTCTCGCATCGCCGTGTTGCACCAAACAGAACGAGATCGCCGAAACCAACGCAGCGCTGTCGTGAACCTTGGCTCGTGGTTGCGCACTCGTGGATTCTGTGACTCCCTTCGCTTTCAAAGCGCGCACGACGATTACGAACGATACTTTCCATCTTCCGGGAACATCACAGGGGCACTTCTCCGGTCACGTCTTCGCTACATGTGCAACATGTGTTCGCAAACCGCGTCAAACCAAAAAAATACCGCGGCCTGGCGTGGTTGCCAGATCTTGCCGGAAGTCGAGACGCTGCGTCGTTCAACTCCGCAACGCAAGGAGAGTGAGGGGCGGGGCGTACTCCTCTTCCGCAGGGGTCGAAAGAGCGGGAGTTTCAAATGTGGAGAAATTCTGACTCTACTAAATTACGTCCTGTGGCGTAAATATTGATAAAAAAAATAATTTTTTTCGCGGAACATTTGTTTTGTGACATGCTTGTCCCAATTAGGCTGTTTAAAAAAAAACTTTTTTTTCTTTGCAGTTACCCTTTAATGAAAAAATGTGGTTCCCAACTGTGAAAGCAATGTTTCTTTGATTTAATATGAACCTGTATTCCTCAACAACTGTTGAGCAGCTATTTTTTTTTTCTTTTGCCAACATGACGTTGCGTTTGAATGGGCAACGGCTCACAGGTGGGCTATTTGAGAAGCTCCTGCTCCTCAAGTGTAACTGAGTTTAGCACTTGCATGTTTTTCTTTTGTATCGCTTCAGTGTAAAATAACAGACAAAGCAAGAACGATTTTTATTGCACCTCCCAACTAATTTGTTGCCTATGATATGACAGTTGGCACCTCAAGCAAATTGGAAAAATGTATTTCAGTATCTGTATTTCTGCCATCCCTAAGAGGTATTCCTGCATTTGTATTTCCAAATACGTTTTGCTCCTTGTTAAAACGCATTTCCGATGCATATCAGAATAATTTTTACAGATATATTTAAGTATCACTATTTTAGCTATTTTTATGTATCCCAGCATTTGTATTTCCAAGTACATTAAGTATTTTGACCCAACCCTGGTCGAAAGACACCAATGTTTGAAAAATAAATAAACAATGAAAAACATCCGCCGATTTTTCTCATAAACAAACACCGGAGGATATACGGCCTAGTTATAGGTTATTTATATTTACTAAGTAAAATTCATTTTGGGTGTGTTTGTGGTATAAAAATACAATCAAAACCCAATGTAGCTCCTTAATGTTTTCAATTAATCAATAAACTGAAAACAAAAAATAAAGCCTTTTTTTTTTTTTTTCTTTAGATGAGTGGAGACTGTTGTGAAGAGGCCACTGAGGCTTTGTTACCTTGCGGACCAGGATCTGATCAGAGCATTTTGTTTTTGTCCATGAGGACCCTCAGGGTATAATTAATTGATTATGTAACCTCTTAACGGCTTATGAAAAGCTCAGCTTGCCATGAGTTATGTGCCATTTTGTGGTTTATGACGAGTGCACCTCATCACGTACTGCTTTGTGCCTTTTGCAAGGTTTGCAACAAGGTCAGTGAATAAAAACAGTATGAATTATCTTTATGATAGAATAATAAATAAAAGAAACTTTCGTATAAGGTCTGCTTAAAAAATGTAAAGCATTATAAGGTTAATCAACAGGCGATGCTATTTTCTATTTTAAAAGAATAACAAATGTTTTCCTTGAAACTTCATCTAGATTCTGAACATCTAAGGCACTGCAAGCACAAGCTTTACAGGTGTGCTCTGCACTTTCGTGCCATATCGATGGATGGGAGCAGAGTTTATGCTTTCAAATACTATCAATAGATAAGAGAACAGCGATTCCTTCCATTGTGACGTCACAAGATCATTACTGAAAAGGCGACCTCACCAAATCAGAGCATGGAGGCACCTCAAGATAATTTAGGAGGACCAAAAACTGATCTGGAGATGAAGTTGGCATTAACAATTGTGCAAGCTGGTTGACCATAGTAAAAGAAGCAATGCGTAAAGCATGGACAAAGATTAGAAGACAAACAAACCACAGAACACCATTTTTATCAACACCTGTCGAGAGCGTATTTACAGCCGCTAACATAATGCTCCACAGCCCTCCACCCAAATCGACAGGTGCTAACTGATTGAACATCACTTGAAAAGCTCATCCACAAATGCAAGTGAGTTCAGCAATTGTTCTTTTGGTCTGTGTTGCTTGCATACTATATGTAAAAAGTAATATACATGGCTGGAGTGATCTTTCTTGATATCGTTAATACCTGGTTGTCAATAACACAGAAGACGACATTTACAATATCTCAAAGTATGTATAACGTGATACCAATAGCAGAGCTAGCTGTAGAATTCTCTGGAAAGAGTGGCACCTGCACAAGGCAAGCTTGAAGGTTCTGTCAAACTACATTAGTGATGGGTGTTACCTTGTAGAATCGAAAGGTGCAGCTTTGTTTTTGCAAAGCATTAGCAACCTGTGTCAGGACGCAGATGGCCGAAAGCAATGTTTGGTGCTTCTGTTGGGAGATGGAGCGACGTGCTGCAATTAGAAAAACTCGTGATGGTGAGTCCGACGAGGCTGAAGATAATCTTGCTGTAACACAGCTTTCTTCTAATATTTTCACAGACGTTGCTGAGCGAGCGCGTACGTGGCCAAATGGTTACTGCACTTGATTGTAGCGCAGAAGATTTGGGTTTGATTCCAGGCAGTGGAATGTTCTTTTATTTATTCTTTCTACTTGGCGTTCTCGCAAATTCGAGAAATTGCTTGTCTGGCCGAGTTACGAATATTCTACGCACTGAAATGTCTAAGCCGAATGTTCCAGAGACCCACGCCAGAGACCCACGCGACTACAAAAGGGACTCCGCATGGTGAGCTAAGTCAGACTCTTCCCAGCGCTCAATCCTGCTGTTTTGACGCCTGCGACGCTAGCCTTTCTCTATTTTGTTTTGGGCACAAGTTCGCCCCATTAAGCGTTTAGTTTCTTCACTTATTCGCCGCCTCACCATTTGTTATTTGTGACAATACAGTATAGCCATGCACGCAGACATAAAAGCCACAACAGAAAAACGCAATTGGGGTCGACACACCCTGCCGTAGACCCGCTGCTCCACAGTGCAGTCTACTTTCCGTGATGTGCTCTGCCATCTCTCAACATGAGAATGAAATACAAGCCTCGGCCGTCAACATCAGCATTCATAACTGAAAATCTTGCATATATTCTTCCGATTTTTCGAACAAACAAATCAGTGCCTTTAACTTTCACATGGTAACATCCACCACTGCAATACACCTGTGACAGAATATGAAGCTTGCTACACCCAGACTATAATGTTTTGCTTCATTTTATAGCAAACCCCGCTACTGTGGCAACCTACATTTTGGGATCTGTTTTGTTTCATCGACAGACATCTCATCGACAACTTTTAATCAAACGACATATTGACATACATTTCGTCGACACCAGGGGCGGATGCAGGAATTTCCTGAGGGGGGGGGGTCAGGTGTCGGTCAGCGTACCATATGTTTAGGGACCCCCTCCCCCTCTCCTTCGTTTTACGTCCTAAAATTTACACAAGCAGAAATCAAGAGGGGGGTCAGGACATCCGGACCCCCCTCTAAATCCGCCCCTGGTCGACACTGACATGCCATCGACAATCGTTACGCTAACTGTACGATGTTGTGATGTTTCGTTGTGTGTGTCACTGGGGCACGCATTAACTTACCTGGCCCGCCCGTCTACGTCATTTGCAGCAACCGTCTGTGGCGGCTCACTACAGAAATATTAACACACCAGGCCTGTCGTAGCAGTTGTTCAGGTATAACAAGAACAGTTTATTGCGGGTTAAAGGCAATACGTGTAGTCAGCGACACACAGCCATGTCCTCGCATGGTTGTGCCGTTCTCCCCCGTCCACTGGCCTCCCGGAGCGAGAGTACTCCGCGCGTAGGCGCGTCACGGCACAGCAGTCGGCGGTCGCTCGCAATGCCACTCACGACACCCCCCTTTCTTAGGAGTAGGGAGCCGCGCTACAAGTCCAACCTGTACGGTGGTCTGCTTGGTCGTCCGCTCCTAGTGACCGCCGTTGGCTGCATGTGACTCCCGGTGCGTCGTGTTAGTCCTGTCGATGTGCTTACAATGTAGGACCTTGGTTGGGCTGCTGGCCGTGTCACTGTACCGCAGGATGCCGGACCACTCCGTTGCTTTTTCCACCTTCTTGATGACTCCCATTTCTTTCATCCTTTCCAATTCATTCTCCACTTGTGAGAGCAGTGGAAGAGGAACTCGCCTTGGGTATGTAACGGCATAGGGCTTGGCGTCATCCTCACAAGGCCCACCCACTGATCTCCACTAGGGGGGGCTGGATGTATGCGCATTGAGCAAACAAGTATGAAGCCACTGGAGGTGAGCAGCTTGTCCCGGAAGTGAGTGCTTGGCAGGCTTTGTAACCCTTCCGAGTGCTGGTTCGAAAAGCGTCGAGGGCGCTGGATTTTCGCTTGTTCTCTCAAGAGAATCTGCTTGTTGCACAGTAAGAGTGCATGCAGACCCGAGAAGTATCATGGGAAGCCATTCAATGTAAACATTTTGAGATTCTAGTTGATCAAGTTGTGAATATGTCTCAAGTTCAAATGCCTCATTCTCAGGATTTAATCCAGAACGGGAGCATTAAAACCCAATCAAAGAAACAAAAAAGCATGGTCCAAAATATCGACTGAATGCACTAGGAAGCTTCCGGGACAAGAATCGAACTTCCGGTGGCTTCACTTGCGCCAGGCTCGGAGAGCAGCTAAGCGCCATCCAGCCCCCTTTAGTAGAGATCAGTGGGCCCACCCACTCGACCTGCTTCGCGGCAACATTCTGCGGGGAGTCACTACAGAAAAAAAGCTTATCTGAGCTGTCGATGAAACGAACTGTCAATGAAACGTCGTTCAATGAACTGACTGCCCCCCATATTTCAGTATCAGGATTTCTCCTTCAAACAAAACATATTTAAAGATACTTTGTCACCCATTTTTTTCGTCATACATATTTGAATTGTTTTGCAATGCTCCTTTTATAAATGTATTTTAGTATCAGTACTTTAGCTGTCACTGCTGTGTATTCCAGTATTTGTCATTTCAAATGCTTCTTAGGTTATATCCGCCCAACCTTGTCACTCAATGAACAGCATTCCAGAGGCATGTCACATGTCACATGTAACTCAAAAGGAGCATGTCACATGTAACTCAAAAGGACAGTGCACCAGGGGTGAAAGTTCCATGTACTTACGTCAGTCGACATTCACGATGGTAACGCCGAGGGCAACACCTTTTTGTACTAGTAGGCGGTTCAGGGACAGCCTCTCATCCTCCCTGGCATGCCCGAAAGGCCCACCTCGTGGCACCAACATGAATACGAGCACGTAGCTCGTCAAGCCTTTCAGGGTGGTCACAAGCTCCTGAAAAGTGGAAAGGACATTGACTTATGCAGAGGACAAAGCAAAACTACCGTAAAATCCCGTAAGAATGTCCACCCAAAATGAAGAGATAAATTGGGAAAAACGTGGGGTGGGCTATCTTTGGGAATGCGACAGCAAAAATTTATTTAAAGAAACGCGATAAGCAACTGGGCTATCCGCTACAAACCACATAAAACGGGAACTGATACCGCGGATTGCGGACACGGCATATTTGCGTTTTATGATGTGATGTTTTATGATATGAACACGTAAGACTCTGCTACGACATCCTAAGTCATGGTAAAAGGGGTTGAACACGCAGCAGATTCACTTTGCCGTGTTTTCAGGATTCTAACGCGCAGGCTGATTTAGCTTTCAGATATTGGCCGGTTCTACCGCGCAGGTAAAGTAATGAAGATTGAACACATACCTTATAGACGGGTTTTATGAAACGAACGCCAACAAAAAATAAATGCCGTGCACTAGTCGCCGTTGTCACAGTGCGACGATGTTTCTTCGCTGTCCACAGAGGTGAGTGCGCGTCGTCGGCTTTGGGAGGGTCGTCTTCCGAGCACGCTTTGCGAGCTCGTCGGGTCGCTGGGATTGCGAGGCCACGCAGTGCTACTCCGTTCGTTTTGCCATGACTCCCGTTGAAACAGTTCAAACCTGTGGTGCCTGTGGTTTAACCTGTGGTTCAAACAGTTCAAACACGCCGCTCCGGCAACCTGAGAACCGTTGAAAACAGCAAGGCCAGGGTGGCGCCAGTGGGCAAGTCAGTCATGATGTAGGATGGTCGAGAAATAAACCAGTTAGCTGAGTTTGAGACGTCCCTTTTTGTGTCTGATCCTTCTATTAAAAAGTTTCCAATTTCTTCGACCACAGTCTCAGGTGTTATATGACATGATTATCATCATCATCACTACCATTAGAACGGATTCCCTACGAGCGGTTTTTCCCTACGCTGGCGTTGTCCCCAGATCTAGGCACGGGCAGATCTCTGGATAGGCGCTCGCGGTGGGCGCCCCACCGGGTGGGGAATACGAAACTGCCCAACCACCAGATTTCCGAGATTTCGACAGAAGGGAAGTTAATGCAGCGTAATGACTTTATTGCTTTTTATAAGCGTTAGAATAGCTCAGAATTTAGTTTACAACGTTAAATTATCACTGTTTATATTGCTGAGAGTTTTCACTCTTCGCGTTTACCATGGCAACGTTGCTTTCTTTCTCTCGTGTTCTGTCGCTCTCTTTTGCGATCGTTCACTCGGGACCCCGGGTGTCGGCGCACGGGATTTGCCACTCCTCCTCACCCACCTTTACCCCCCTGGTTCTTAACGCCAAAATAGAAGTCACGTGCAGTTCCTCGAGTGGCCGCTGCGGGAGAAATGGTGTCGTTGTGTTCGTCATTAGCTCGGTGCTCGGAGACAGCTTGGGGCCACTTTTTCAAAGCTGTCTCTATGGGAGTTGATACCGTTCTCGACAAACATCCAAAATAATATAAACAAAGCGGAAGATTTTATTTAATACTATCATATTATATTGCAACATTATTTTGTGCACTTTGTAGAATTTAGTGAATTTAAAATCACAAAAAGTTGAAACACTCATCAACGTGATCTGGCAACCATGGCAACGCTCCGAATCTTTCCGAACTTTTCCGAATCGCTTGAGATACGGCCATTCGCGCCATTCGGCTGATTCGGTCATTCGGCTCCGAGGCATCCGAGGCGTCCGAGCCGCCGAATCTCGATATCTGCGTTGGGCCGCAGGAACCAGGCACCTCTGCCTCTGCTACCTCTGCCAGGCACTGCAGCTGACTGCAGTGCAAAGTGCTGCAGTGTACAAACAGTACAGAGCTCGGATGGGTCGAAAGCAGGCTCCCTATGGCAAGCGAAAGCGTCGGAAGGTTTGGACACGGCCACTCGGTTGGAAGTCCCAGATTGAGAATACTTGTAAGCGACCGTCGGTATGTCCCGTGGCAGCGGTGGTCGGACACAGTGAATGGGTCCGAGCACGGCGTCACGCGACAAACCCAGTGATTGAACATGTGTGCGCGCCGAACGATGACATGCGCTCGTGTCCAGTTCATTCAGGTACTCAATCTCGGCCTGATCTGGGTAATTTTGGCGTCTCAAGGTTCTAACGGTACTAATGCGCCAGAACCAAAAGTGGGGCGTACAGTCGCGGCCCTTAGCGCGGCCGTTCAGGACTAGGGAAATGGTCTTGAACTGAGAAATGGTATCTTGGTGCTCTATAATAATCACATGTCGTTAGTATATGTTCTGCTTGCTAAGCCAAATAAATATTTGCAACTTGTGAGAATATGTTTGCGTGACGATTTACCGGAATTCGCTCTCCTGACGGATGTTAGCGAATCTTTACGTCCGTGGCTATGAAAATTCGGAGGTCGCTTCGTTAGCGAGCGCAGTTTCCGCGTGCAGGCGATATGAATTCGTGTTTCGGGCGGGAATATTCACTGGCGACCATACCTGAGTCTTTTACTGCTTATGGCAAACTTCCACAGTGTGTTTGCATCATGCACTTTTAAGGTTGGGGGTCCTTACTAGCATATAAGTGGGAACCTGTTCTAAGCTTGCGCAGTGAACAGTAAACTCAAATATGGTGTCCGATGAATATATTCAATGGACACCATATTTGAGTGCACTGTTCACTAGGCATTCTCAGAACAAGCTCACACTCTAGGTTCCCAAGACTGGCAATCTCAATGGTGCGCAATGCATGTTGCAACAACCTCGTGGAAGCTCGCTGTCAGCACGCGCTGAGCAGCTATGCACTCAGCTACCACTGACAGTCAATACCCCCTACAATAAACATGTCTGTCTGATAGCAGCAAACAAAAAAAAGAGAAAACAGTGTACAAATGACGGACCTCGTCGGCTTGCCACCTGCTCATCCAACTTCACTGCTCACTTCTAGGCCGCAATCGGCCATCGGAGACCTCTACCGACATACGGAAGCACACCCTAACAGATGCTGTCCACCCAGGTACTGTAAAGAATGTGAGGCCATACAAATCAGTGATCCACCTTTTCAATCCAGTTTCCTGATTACCCATGTTCATCTTGTCAATGCTTACCTAGATCAGCCGGCTGCCCAGAGACATGCCCCTGCACTGGATTGTGGCAGTGGCGTCAACCTCTTCGGTGGGGACGTCCCTACTGCCGGCAGCCCAGGTACTGTTAAGTTCCATGCTAATGCTGTCGGTGCACGACCGCTCACCCCATGGCGCTGCATGTCCATCAGCGCGCCATTAACACAGAGCGTCCAAGTTAGCCAGGGGAGCACGCATGCTGATTGGCGACGAAAAGTGCACAGCAGACGAAAAAGGGAGCAGACGAGCGGCTTGTGTGCTTTTGCATTCACAACTCATAAGAAGTGCTTAGGTGTACCTTGGTTGTTTTTTTTTAAACTGGTATGCTTTGCCCCTTGTGGTAATTGGGGGTGCATCAGTCATTTTGGGAAATGGTGGCGAATATTGGATAAAGTCAAGTAGTCGCAGAGTAGTTATTTTCAGAAGTGGCCCCGAATTTAGAAGTTTCTTTGACTTTTTAATTTGGCGCTCCTTGCATTGGCTTGCACCCATGAGGCTTAAACATACTAGGAGAGAGCATAGCGTCAGCCCCGTAGCTTCTGCAGGCAATCCTCTCATGGAGGAGTGTCCTCTCCCAATATTTTTAACCTCCCGCGCTGATTGAGCGAGATTTTGAAAGTCTACAGGAAAGCCGCCCCACGTAATGACAATTCCCCGCAAGATTTAGTGGGGAATTGAATTGGTGTTGGAGGTCAGGTGACGTATATTTCCCGCTAAATTTAGCAGGAAATTGATTTGGTGTTGAGGTCACGTGACATCAACCTTCCCGCTAAATTGAGCACGGTGACACCGACGCCATAAACACGGAAACGAGAGCCTAAGAGCTGTGCTCTAGAGACGCCTTTATCAAAGGACTGAAGAACTCCGCTTCATTTTTGTTTTTGAAAAGAACAATGAGTCCTCTTCAGTATCACCTAGGAAGACCACATGTCAAATATTACGACGTTCTGTCTAAATGTTTCTTAAATGGTCTGGCAAACTTTGCAACTCTTCAAGTCGCCGAAATCAGCTGACTCGAGCGGGCGAATTAAGGCGTAATCAACAGCACAGTCAAGGCTACATCATGGGCGTAGCAAACATTCTGCTAAATGTCATCACCATTGCCCCCTTTGGCTTGTTTTTACTTCTCCGGGCAAGTGTAACGGGTGATGTCAGCAACGTTTCCTTTTGGCGCGCCTGTGCAGCGTGCTTCTTGGGAGCCTTCCGGCTGCCCCGTGTGGTCCTGCCATCTTTCGCGTCACAGCTGTCGTCATCGTCTCACCGTTTGTGATTATTAGGGAACTGTAGTAGACCGTTTCTGCAGCCCGTTAAGCACTCGCATAGCGCTCCGTAGTCTGCCACAATACTTTAACCTATTGCAGACAAGGCTGGCGGCGCACATGCGCAGCTGCGGCTTTTACTTTACGGATATTGTGGCGGAAGAAAAAAACAATCTACTAAAACTTCCTATTGTCTCTCGGAGTTTCGTCCACACTACGGATGCTACATGCGTACACTTGTGCCGCAGCTATTCAGATGTCGTCGAATGTCGTAGACACCAAAACGTGATGAAGAGTGTGGTGCAGACGAGACTTGCGCCTGGCACACGCCCCCCCAATCCCGCCCGTCGTTGCGTAGAGGACCACGTGACATTTCGTACCACGTGATAGCCATGTTCTTCGCGGCCTGAGGCCATTGTTGCCGGACGGAGCCGAAGCTTTCGTTTCGATTTCTGCTTGTGTTTAAAATCAGATTTAATAATATATCTCCCATTTTTCGCGAAGCAAATGATGTAGTGTCTCTTTTTTAGGGCTTTTTATTAAGGAATCGCTCATTATCCAGAAATCTTCGGAATTGAGCGGAGGAGTTGCCCTTTAAGGCCCCTTGGTGTGCTTGTGTCTGTCTTGCAAGTAGCGTCCAATGTGCCAGTGCACGAGGCCCGTGTTTCGAGTGGCCCTTAAAAGCGAATGGCAGCGGAGGGCCTGCTCATGGCACACGTCTTGCTCGCTTCTGCAACAATGGTTGGCTGTACTTGAATGCATAAATTTTATCAAGGGACTTTAGAATCGTGGCTGCTGGAGCGGCGCCTATCGCCATTTCAATCAGGCTGGAGCGCGTCGCGTAGAAGCGAGCTAACAAGCAGGCCAGCAGATAAGAAAGGATGCGCGTGCGCACTGCTCTGGTCTCGGCAGCAGGCGGTGCGCCGTCAGGGAGCGCAGCGATGCAATTCGATCAGTGCTCCAGTGTTATCCAAACTTTTGCTGCCTACAGTATGTTCAAAGTGACTCTTGAAATAGCATCATTGCACTTAATGTTGCTGATGTTAAAAGTTTGACCGGCTCATATGCTTCTTCGAAGATCATGGTCGCTCCCTCACTGAAGCAACCAAAACTGGAAAGTTGTAGATGGACAAGATGTTGTTCCCGGTGCCGCGAGACACGACAAAGCGACTCCTGTGTCCATACACGATTGCACCACCGGTCAAAGGCCGCCGGACAGGAGCAAAGTCGTGCCACCTGCCTTTCTTGGATGGAGACCTTTTCACTCAAGAGGCGCACGTGGAGTCAAAAGTGCCATAACTGGCTCGCGTTTTCGTGACACACATCGATGGATGACTGCAGCGCCCCCGAGTGCTTTGTGTAACTATACTGCACGGTCTAGTAGAATCACTCCTGGGGGGATGCGTTTTGCATGTTTTTGAAGTTGTCAATACTTTTCATGACGTCAGCCTTATGCTGCTTTTGCTGGCAACAAAATGTATAGCTGGCAAGAGCCATCTTTCATGTTTAGGGATATACTTTTTCCAAAAATTCCCTCATGCAACATAGCATGTGTTGCATTATGGGACCTCTTTGGCCATGGAGTGAAGTAGGCATGTTTTAAATTTTGATTGCCCCATTGACAAAGTAGTACATCTCAGCATTGCATAAATATAAAGGCGGCGCTCGCTTGCATTGCACCCGTTCATCTTCGTGGGAGCCCAAGTTGAAATACAAACCTCCAGCGGCTGTAAAGACCTGCAGGAGGCACTCACTTGATCGAATGACGTTTTAGCAAACGCCCACGTTTCACCGAATGACACTTTAGCGAATAGTCGGACGCCGCGCAGGCTCACATTTTTTTAATGAGCCGCCGCAGACTGTTGTCGCGAAGCGGCGTAAAGCACAGCGCGGCGGATGGGTTAATGCGCGCCTCTGTTCCTAAAACGTCGATTCGCTCAAATGTCGCTGTTCGCTAAAACGTCATTCGCTCATGTGATATGGACCCAAAGACCTGCCTGGACTGCCTGCCATGCATTTCTGGCGGCCCAGCTGTCACTCCAGGGTGCAGCATGACCCTCCTGGATCACAGATCATTTAAGAAGCCCAAGACATTGAGACAATGAAACACAATGAGCAACCCAGTATACTTCTTCCTGCGTTTACGTGCGCGCAAACTCTGGTACGTCAGGAGCCCCCTAAGAAATGTGTCCTAGCATGTTTCTTGGGGCCCCCAACGAACCAGTGTTTTGTGTTTTGGGCCTTGCCTACCGTACTGGTAGGCAACACTAAAGTGTTGTAAATATAAGGAAAGTCACCCATTTGAAGATGCATGTACTTACTGTATTTGGTTGTGAATTGAGGTTGGCAAATGGAAACCAAAACTGTGACTAATGGGTTTCCGAGATGCTTTGCGCTTCACTATGCCTCTAGGAACGCTTCGATTTTGCGAGGGGCCTATTCGACGACTGAAATGACACGGTTCAGCCATTCAGGGAGTGGAAATGGTCCCAGTGTCTTAATTCATAAAAGTTAAAAGGGATGGAATTATTGGAAACTAAAATTCCACGTAATGGAGTTAGAATAAAATGGCAATGCTTATTCCACAACACGGGTATATATTATGGTTTAGTGACTAGTACACCCTTCTTGCAAATACCGAGCGCTCGTAGATTTGGAACTCCTAGTTCACAGTCTCAGTGGTGGAGCGGGCGAGCGACGGCTCTTGAGCGCACGCAACACAGCAGAAGGAAGAGGTCTGGTCACTGGCATTTCCGCCGCACGGCGGCATGTCTGCCATGGTCGCTGCAGTGCTGCAGCCTGCTACGGCGCTGTTCCGGCAGTTCTGTCCACCACCCCCCACTTCGATGCCTCGCCAGCTTCGCTCGCGTACAGCACGAAAGTCGCTTTGCTGGACCAGCATAGCTCGTACTTACCACCTTAGCTAATCAATGTACACTTGCCACAGAATAATAAGTATGTTTATTTTTTTTCAATGTCTGTATTTTTTCGTGTAACATGGGTGCTCCCCCTTACGTGGACCGTTAAAGGGATACTCCGGCAATTTCTTCATATTCTCCGATTTGCCTGAAAACTTACTAAACACTCCAACCAACATCACTGAAATAGTATCCCAAATATTAAGACAAAATATTTTTTTTTTTTGCCAAGTCATTGGATTTACAATCTTGGTCCTTGCCATACTTTTTCAAACTGAAAGCCTACTGGCAACAATGAAAAAGTGACGCCAGCGGAAGGCATGAATTCTCTCTTTCGACTGCAGATTTTGTTTCCAACTAATCACAGGCAGCTTTATGGTGTCAAATGAATGCTTTGAAACCTTGCTCCAGTACTTGTGCACCAGCACGGAAGAAATGCTTGGCATAGTCCATATTTTAGACCGCTTGCTCGACTGGCGAGCCTGCCCCTGCCTTCCACTGACGTCACGGCACTGAAAAGTAGGGGTATATTTGAATGTTGGTTTTTGCAACATTTTCATTCCCCAATTTTACAATAACTATTATAAATTTCAGGAAACTATATAGCATACTGGATAGGGTAAACGCCAAGGATTCAGAAAATATACGGTAGTTAGTTGGGGTACCTAAAAAAAATCCCCAGAGTACCCCTTTAAAGGAGCTGTGCAACAATTTCAATGCTTTGCTTAAATACTTTGGGAGTTGGTGTCTCGACTTTTCTGAAGTAAAGAGCAAAAAACCGCTTTTTGCCTGCATGTCCTAGTTTTTACTTTAAAAATGGACAAAGGTTGAGGTTTTTGGCACCTCTCAACTCTTTCACCATCTTCCGAGTCATTTGCGCTGTGACGTCAATGGGGGTCCCGAGGGGGTTCCGGTGAAGCTCTCTCTCGCAAGCCATCAGTGAGCAGCGAGGACTCATCCACTCGCGACCGCGTGACAGCGTGCTGGCACCGTGCGAACAATATGGTGAAAGGAGGAAAGTCTCATCCGGGTCCGGCCATCCCCGTCCGGCACTGCCCTCATTTCCTTCCGGCTTCTGGCGGCCGTTCGCGGTAGCAGATAGAGCCGACGGTTTTGTGGATCTAGTATAGATGGCGCCACTATAACTCCATATATAAAAGTTTTGTCGATGATACCAGGCTTTTGACGCATTTATATTTATGTTGGAAGGACAAGATTTATAGAAAAGTTACCTTTTATCGAGCAGGTATTTGCACAACTTGCTGTCTTTCTATAAAACCCCCATTGACGTCATGTCGCGTAATTCTCATGGCCGCCGCTCGTGGCTGCAGGTCGGGGAATATTGTAATTTTTGCCTCGCGATTACACGGCAGAATTGCAACATTTCGAAGGAAGGAGGTGTGTTTTCGGTCCTTTGTGACAAGATAAACAATTCAGAAGTAGACGATGCCAATTCTTTCAATGTTAAAGGAGCCCTGCAATCATATTTAAGCGTCTACCTTCTTTGCAGTTTCCACGTCTCTTGGGGTTCGGGCAAGCCAGCGGGCACGAAGAGAGTAACTAAATATCAGTGCGTCATATTTTAACCAGACGGCACGGAAACCTCCTCCACCGACGAGGGCGACCCGCGGTACCGAAAGCGCGCAAAATGTGACATCTTTGGTCCTGGGCTTACTACTGGTCAGAGTCGCTGAAAGCTTCTTTTTAGTCGAAATACAAAATATAAGTGGCGCGAACCGTTTCAATTATTTATAAAAGTAGTTTTTGTTCAGTATTTTAGGTCAAAAAAGAAACGAATGCAGTTCATAAAGTGCGGAAACAAGAAATGACCCGTCGACATACCCGCCACCAAGTGGTGGAAAAGGCAGCGCATACTAGAAAGGAGTAGTGGGATCAGGCGCCGACATGGAAAAGTCCCAGATGCACGCGGCGGCGCTGCAGTCGTATGGGCAGGAGGATCCGACCGGCTCCGAGCGTTCCGAAGGCCTTCGGCGAGAAGCTTTGTCTTGCGGTTTGGCCGTTTCACGGTATGGCAGCGCAAAGTAGCTCCCATTCTGAACTGATCTTTACCCCGTGTTTGCTGTCGTTTGTGGCCAATGAAGTGTCACGCCGAAGTAGTATTTAATCGCGCAGCAAATGCAATGAGAGCTGCTCTGGCTGCCCGCTGCATACAGCCTATCCAGGACATGCTTTAGTGGCGCCCTCTCGCGCCGTCGACAAGGAGTGCGGCAGCCGTGAGCGCTCGATGAGCTCACTACTTCTCCTCTAGTTCACGGCCACTCTCAAGCAACCAAGGACATCATTAGGGAGGTTGTTTTTTGCTTGTTTTTGTAATTTTAATTTGCCTATAACTTCTAAAATAAAGGGAATTTCGAGAAAAGAAAAGTTTCACTAAGTTACTACGTTCAGTGCGCTCAGGTTCGGTGCAAATTAAAAATTAGTAAAAAATTCATTGCAGGGCCCCTTTAAAATCGTTGCACAGCTCCTTTAAAGGGACACTGACAGGGTATTCATGCTCCCCAAGCACACCCAGAACACGATTTACGGCTCGAAATTTGTTTTCTTTTCGCTTGAAAACCGTTGATTGAAAACTGGCCGTTTTGAGTCGCGCTCACTCTTTTCTGTGGTCACGAGCTGTTTTCTATGGTTTAGACCAGTCGTCCCAAACTCATTTGAGAGTGGGGGCCAGATAGCCGACACCGGAAAGGTCGAGGACCAACGTAAGACGAGGGTGGACAGGGGGCAGTCAAAAGATGTTTTTATTTAAAGAGACGAGACCTCGTGCACCGTGCTTTTTTGTAAACTCGCAGTTTTCTCCAGTGACATCTTTAGATTTCAGTTGTTTATATGACTACTTTGGCCCCTGACCTGATGTGATAACAAGGATTAAAATGACACCAGCCCGCCAACCTGCTGGCATTTTTAATAGCACAAAAGACCAATTACACTGTCATTCCTGTTGTTCAGTTCGCTCAGGAAGTAATCAAGCTACACATGTCTTTAAAAAGCAGTCAGTTATTTTGACAGTTCTTGCTTCTCTAAATTCTTTTTAATACAACACTTTGAACAAATACCTGTCTTTTTATTACGTGGGGATATTTTTTTTGACGTGAGAATCCTGAGCTCATAGTTTTCCTGGCTATTTGCTCCTGCTGATTGAGAGTTTGCGCAGTTGATATGCATCCTTCAATGAATAGCTCGCATTTGCAGCCTAGTAGCGGAATTTTTGAATATTACAAAAAGCTGGGAAGCAAAAAATAAATTGAAACAAAGGGCAAAGGAACGGAGATAGGTATAAACTATGGAAACGTTAAAAGAACAGAACTACTTTTCGAGCGAAAATGGTTCGACGAGATGAGATCACTCTGGCGCCTGCCATTGCTAGTGCTCGAGACATGGGAACTGGGACACGTAGCTGGTCGCCTGCGGGCCTCATCACAGCAAGTTGCGGGCCGAGTGCTTGAGACCGCTGGTTTAGACACAACCACCAAAGATGATCAAAGTCGTGGGTCATCGAAGGCGCACACTCAGTACTAAAAATAGAATGAAAATAAGACACCCATTTTTGGTGGTTTCCAAAACGTTGCAAATACGTTGATTATTGAAAAAAAAAAAAAAAAAAAGAGAGAGGTGCACGGCCACGTGACTTCCAGTAACTTTCTCCTCCTCTATACAGCAAAACCCGTTCAGAACGAACCTACGTACAGCGAATTATTGTCGATATCGAGCTCACGGAAATTTTAAATAAAAATACATGTAAAAAGTACTTTTTATAACGAACAACAGATTGGCTATATCTAACTTTTTCCCCCGGGAAGGCTTCTAAAAACGCGCAAACAATCGTCTTCTAGTCTGTCCTCCCCCCCCCAACCCCCACACACACACACCAAAAAAAAATGCAGGAAAGAAAAAAAAAATCCAAAAACACGAGCCGCGAACAAAATTCAGCGAGAAGTGATTCAAAAGGAGAGAAAGCTAAAAAAAACACTCTGCATGCACGTACAGAAAAAAACCCTTTTCATCCCAAAGCGGTTGCCCACGAAGAGAAACGATTTAGAAGGGAACATAAGCTAAAATAACAAAATCTGCACTAATGCAAAAAAAAATTGCGCGGTTTTATTAGGTGTAGGCGAAGAGGTGGGAAAGAAAGAGAAGCTCTCGTCTACAACGGATGCATCGTGGAAGTTTGTTGTAAATGGTTTTTGCTATATCGAATTACTTGCTATATCGAACTGACCGTAGCGTTTCCTGCTGTTCGCTATAAACCGGTTCGACTGTATTTCTTCCTCCTTCCTAGTTAAGTTTTGGTTTTGAGGAGTTTTTTTGATTTCATTAAAAGTATAATGTGACGCTGTAGCAAAATATTGATTGGGTAGTCTTCCGACACCATAATAAATTGCCTGACAAAAAATAAAAAGCAGTCTTTGGGCGGTGTCAATGTCATTTCAAAGGGATTGTCCGATCGAGACCGGAAGTACTTAAGCTTTTGCACTCGTTACGTAGAGGGAGCCTTGATATAGGCAAACATCATTTTTATTTTGTTATACAATCTCCCCTTATTCATTTTAACCTTTCATGAGCGTATGTACGAAACTGCACCCCGAATTTCGGCTGTGTTAATGGCTGACATCCATAGCTGCTGCATGACGTCACAAAACCTAAAGGTTTGTCAGATGGTCGGGATAACAAGCGTTGGTCGATGGATGTCTTGTATTTTGTTTCAAATTATATAGTCTCCTTGGCTGTACCCTACTGAAATGCGTTTCTTTTAATGCAGTTCCCAAGCGTGTGCAAAAAAAGTTGCACCTTTTAGCAGGTTATTTTATTACTTGAAAACAGCCATAAGCTTCGGGCAGACGTATGGCGTTTCGCGCAAATACAACTACGACGGCCACTGATGAAACTAGGAGCGCTTGCAAAGCGCTCCTAGTTCCATCAGTGGCCGTCGTAGTTGTATTTTATCCCCCTAGCTTCGCTCCACTTTATTTGGAGAATATATGGATTATAATCTTAGTTCCTAGCTTGCGCCAGACCTCGTCGGAACTGCCAAGGGTTGGCCATGCAACTGCTCTCCCCTCTCGACATCGACTGCCAAACCGGCGTATCCGGCTTTGGCGAGGAACCCGACCGACGCAAAACGGCTTCGTGCAAGCTATTTTGCATCAGTTGGGTTCTGCTTTCTCATCTTGTGTGAATAAAAAAACGCAGAATTTTCTCGCAGCACTTGTTCAAAGTCAGTTGAATACTGTTGAAAAATGTCTTCGAAACGACCTGCATTGGTACATTTCTGGAAACATACTGTAAAACAGTATCTCAGTGTATGCATACCTGCTCATGTAGTGCACTAAAAATACCATTCCTCGTCCAAAGTGCCCTATTACCGTCAACGCTGATGAACGTTCAGCAGTGCGAGAAACATCAGAAACATTTGTGTCTGCAGAAAGCGACTCTCGGAGCAAGCTCCTGGTCTGTTTATGGCTGATCATTGTTTTTGTTTTCCTTGTCCCGATGCACACAACCTTGTCTTTATGTTTGCAGGCGACAAATGGACCTTCCCACCAAAAGTCGCCAAGGGCCTCCAGTTCAAGTGCAGTTTCTGCTACTACATCACCAAGAACAAGCATGGAATGGTCAGCCACCTAATTCACCATGCGGAGGGACAACGGCTCGAGTGCCGGCACTGTCCCCAGCTTCCTTCAGGTTTGGAACTTCTACCACAACGATCCGGATTTTAAGCCATTCACAAGTGCCAACAATGCAAACACATTTGGCTTAAAAAAAAAAAAAAACTTGCACAAAAAAAAAAAAAAACAAGAAAAAAAAAAATTTCAAGTATAAGGAGTGTTGCAGACTCGAACGGGGTACCCCTCCGACCACCCGCACGGACCGCACCGCACCGTCAATGCAAACAGGACATCAGCACTTTTTTGTGTTTTCATGTGGAAATGGTATTGTGTTACTTCCGTTCCAGTTTCTAAATTTGTCAGGTACATTCCCCTGCACTGACACTAGTCGCAACGTCTTTTTTTTACCTTTCTGAAAATAGTGAGACTGTGCGTTCATAGCTTTGATAGGCGCCGAAGATGCGCGAGAGCGGAAATTCCGAAAGCTTTGGATATGATGTCACGCTTAGGGAAAAAGGGGGTCAGCGGTACTTTGGTAATGATTTTCTGCAGCCTTCGTACACCAAATTGAAAAATAATCGATACTTGTGATCCTGGAGGCAAAGTGAAGATGATTTAAGTGTTTTTCTTCAAATACAGAACCGCTTCAGTTTCCTTTTAATTGGAGCATTACTTTGCTGAACCACGCCCGTAGGCATGTGGGCAAGAAACCTTGTACTACTATATATCAATTAGGTCCCAAACCTTGCTGCAGAAACTGAGATGGCTTTCCACATCTGCTTCCAGGGCAAAAAAAGTTAAAATTATGAGCACTGTCCCAAAGCTATCGGGGATCTCAAACTCATTTTAGTGTAGTTGCCAGATTGCCCATTTTGGAAAGTTCTAGAACCAACGTAAGGCTGGAAGTTAAAAGATCTAGAGAGGAGTTCGCATTCTGCTTTTTGTGAACTCCCAGTTTTGCCAGCGATATCTTTCGCTTTAACTTATCTGAGGACTACTTTGGGCCTTTACTTGATGTTATAGCCAGAATGAAACTCTTTCTGCAGTGTGGCCAATTATTGCATAAGGGTGCTCTTAAATATTTTTTCTGATTTAGTAATCACATTCATCATAAATATGCCTTGTTTGTAACTAGCTCCGTCCGCCAACTGTTTCAGGAATTGCCAGAGTAAACTGAGCTGCGCTAACTTTAATTGGTGGTCAACACAGGCTGCTGTATCTCCAAAACAAAAAGCTGAGACTGTGCTACACTGCCAGATGTTTGCGTTAGACGTGTGAAAATGTTCGGCGTAGAAAAACATCAGAGTAGTTCGGTGGTCGGAGGTTTGCACAAACTACTCGTTACAGCAACGAAGCGTACTTTGCGTTTGCAGCCATCTTCATCAATTTTAGCACAGAATCTGTTAAATTGCTGGCTCCTAGTAGTTTCCTTTAATACGCTTCCTGTAATGCTCCTACAACGAAAAACATTGAATTAAAATTGATTGCATGCGAGCCCTGCGTCAGCGTTTTGCTAGAATTCGCGTCCTCAACGATTAAACGCAAGTCCCGGCAGAATGCTAGTGCAGCACTTAATGTCCAATCTGCACTGTGCTGGCCTCTGGTAAGTAAAATAGAGAGGCCAGCATAACAGCCTTGTTGTCTTGGAGGCGTTAAATAATAGTGTTCACACATGTGGTGGGGGAGCTTTCGGGAGGAGAGGGAAGAGTGCCCGCACTTGCTTCAGAGGAAACAAGAATTTACGAACTTGACGCAACCCTTGGCGAAGGTTTCATTCAGAGGTGCCATGCATAACAATTTTTGTGGTATCGAGGCACAAAATGCTTACGAAGTTTATCTGTACAGTAACTCCGCAAAGTGACACAATGCATTCTGTGTTACCACCGCCTTGCCCGCTATAGTGGGAAAATATGGCACATTGTTTTCCTTTCTCTTTCATAATACACACGGGGATGTCTATTTCCGTAGGTTGGAGAAGTGCCTGCTCGAAGGACGTCTGCTGCCTACTGGAAACCACAACCAACAATCTCTTCAAATGCTGTTTGTGCACCCACTTAGCTGGCGATCAGCGTGAAATGCTCAATCACCTCTTCCTTCGTTGTGATGAACGACTTAAGTGCCAGCAATGTTCAAAATCCTTTTCCAAAGCAGAAGACTTAAGGTAGTACCACACAGAGGTTCACAAGCCAGAAAGAACTTGCAAGTATCAACTGTGGTAACAGCCTTTCAGAAACATGGTCATCTGGTAAATAACATTCCCACCAACGAAGGTAAAAAACCTTTCAAATGCCAGGAATGCCCCAAAGCGTTTGCTCAAAGTGATATTGTACAGCCACATGCAAACCCACACCGGTGAGCAGCCTTTTCAAGGCCAGGAATGTCCCAGAGCATTTTCTCGTCTAAGTAAGATGAGTTGCGACTTTCGAAGCAACAGAGATGAGAAGCCCTACAGATGCCAACTGTGTCCCCAAGCCTTTGCTCGTAGTGGAGGCAGCACATTCAGACGCACACCGGTGAGAGACCTTGCGAATGTGAGCAATGTCCCCTGAACCTATTTACCAGAGTGGGAATCTGACAGAGCACATTCGAATTTACACAGGTGAGAGACCCAACAAATGCAAGCAGTGTTCACAAATCTTTACTGATGGTGGTGCACTAAAGCAGCATATTCGAAGGCACACAGGTGAAAGACCTTGCATATGTAAGTGCTGTCCTCAATGATTTAGCGCACTTGGCACCCTGACATAGCACATTTGAACACACACAGGCAAGAGACCCTACAAATGTGAGCAAAGTCCCCAAGCCTTTAGTCACCGTGATTTGCTGACCCGCCATATTCGAATGCACACTGGCGTGAGACCGTACAAATGCGAGCAACATTACAAAACCTTTACTCAAAAGGACACCGTGACATGTCACATTTGAAAGCACACAGGGGAGAAAACTGTGAGCACCGTCCTGAAGTCTTCACTTGAGCGAGAAGCTGACGGGGTACATTTGAATGAACACAGGTGAGAGATCTTGTAAATCTGAGCAATGTCCCAGGGTGCACGTGAGAACCTGTGTAGCACATTCAGATGCGTTCTGTAGAAATGCCGTGTCCTATATATGGTTTGGGTGAACAAGCCTGAGCAGAGCGATGTGTTTTTTGTTGAAAAAAGAAAGCAGACCGTGAATAGTTTTTACAGATATCAGCAGTCAGTTTTCCTGTTGTCAGCCACAGACGTCCTGACAAGGGCTCACCTGTGTGAGCAGTTCAAACAAACTTTTTTTTTTTTTGCAGTGTTTTTTTTTTTTTTTAGACATGTGAAGGTGCATGACGAGCAGAGGTATAATTTTAGCAGCTTGGTTGTCTCTCCTCGAAATGGTCCAAATAGCAAATGCCCTTCACTGACTTAAGTCTGATCCATATCAAGGTTATTCATCTGAAGGAACTGGGCCTTGTTGGCTTCTGTTATATCCAGGCTTTTCTCATTTGTGTGGAAGGAACTGTTACATATAATAAATGTTCATACAAACTCAGTATTTCCTTTTTCTTGTCGTTTTTCATGGACTGGCTTCAGATCTTGAATCTGTGAAAATAGGTTAAAAGAAGGTTTTTTGACGGTGATACACCTTTTACAGATTGCAAAAAGAAAAAAAAAAAAAAATTATATTTTTTAATAATTATTGAAAATATAGAATAACAGCAGCAATCATTGTTGCAAAAGGTGAAAACTGACAATCTCTTTAAGCAAGATATGAAAAGTTTCATTTAGAAATTCCCCGCTAAACTTAGCGGGAAAATTCTTTTTGCTAGATTTAGTAGAAAAAATTATCCGCTAAATTTAGCGGAAAAGTTTCCCCACTAAATAGACCCTTTCCGAAATTCAGTGCCATCTGGTGGCTGAAATGGCGGTTTAACTTTTGCCATACGAATGGCGGCAATGAACCCGTAGCCTGCAGTATTTTATCGGGCACCGTCACTTTTGCATGTCAACGGCAGACGCCTTGATAAAGTTCTATAAGTCAAGGGGTTTCGAAGTCGATTTTGTGCCACTAACAGGTTCACTGGGCCCGAATTAGAGGAATGAACGCTTACGCAGCGCTTGCATTCAATTCCGGCTTCACTACGTGCCTCGAATCCTCAGCTTAGGAGTATCTTCAACATGTTCCTTCATCAGTAAATAGAAAGCCGCCATTGGTATGGCACATATGCCATTTTTCAGATGATGATGATAGTGATCAAAGTGGCCAGACTGAATTTCGGAAAGGGTCTATTTAATGAAAAAATTTCCTGCTAAATTTAGCGGAAAAAATTTTCCCACTAAATATAGCAGGGAAAATGTTCCGGTAAATTTAGCAGTAATTTTTTCCCCCTAAATTTAGCAGGGAAATTTTCTGCTAAATTTAGCATAGAATTTTTTCCGTTAAATTTAGCGGGGAAATTTACGCATCATGCAACACACGGTGACGTAACTCGCGACATCACGTGTGACGTCATTATGGGAAATGTCCCATAATTCAACGCGCGGTTACGCCGATTGTGACGCTGCTCAAGCCGGAAACAAGCGCCTAAAAGCTGCTAGAAATATATATATATAAAGAAAAGGTTATCATGACCTTTTACTCTTTTTTCGTTGAGATCAGGACGGAAGTCTGTCACGATGTTGATATAGCGAGATTTATCACTCTCCGTGCGTGCCGCCGCTATGGCTGTACCGTCTTGCACAATCGGCGCCACCTGTGGTCGGTTCAAGAACTAATGGTATGTTCGCACGTGGAAGCGGCGGCTCGCGGCTTGCGCACTTTTGCATCTCAACAGATGACATTGTAAAGGCCCGTTCACACTCTTGCGACCTCTTACGAGAGGGCACACTGGCGCCATCTATTGGGTAGTAGTGGAAACTTGGCGGTCAGGCATTATTTCTATTTCTCTCGCGCATTATCCTTTCTATCTTGGCTCGAAAAACTTTTGTGAACGTTATAAATGAGCCTTATAGGTATTACGCACATTTGACCTCGGAAGTCTTGTGGGTCTAGTACATTGTACCGTGAGTGATATTTTGTGCTTGATTGAAGTTGTTTGACGAAGCGGGTTCTTGAAACCTGACGTGAACGGTAGCCCCATCTTTGAGGACCGGGCGAAAGTTCTACGAAAGCGCAGCACTGGGGGAAAGCAGCGCAGCTCGCATCGAATGCAGACGCCATGCCGGCGTCTGCTTTCGATGTTTCTTTTGATGCGACTTTCGATCCGTGCTGTGCTGCTTTTCCCCGGTACTGCGATTTCGTGAAACTTTCACCGGGTCCTCTAAGATCGAGCTACCGTTCACACCGGGTTTCAATCATATGTTTCGTCGAACAATTCAGTCAAGAACGAAATATCGCCCACGGCTAATTTTATGGCAGCCTGCCACCACAACTGCCACAACGCTGTCTGCCATGGATGGATGATAGTGGCTGCACCAGCTGCACATTGGCTAGAGGTAATATAACTCTACCAAAAAGATGGCCGCCAGTGACCGCATTCACAGAGCAGGCAAAAACGATCTAGCAAATAGAGATGGAGATCAGTGGTTTATACTATTATCCAGTGCTTTAAGTGTGTTACCTTGTTCTAAAATGACAGTGTAAATTATTTTTCTTTGTCATGCAAATGACTGAATGTGGAAAATGCTGCATCTGTTTAGATTCCTTGGAAGACGCCGACGACAAGTAGCGGGCTGTCAACTGCTGGACTCCAGGTAAGCAAGCAGCAGTGTTGCCAGACGGAGAAAAAAATGTAAGCAGATTCATCCCCAAAAAGTCAGTAGATTTGCTCAAAAATCAGTAAATTCTACGAAATCTGTGTTTTGCCATGTCTTCCTATTGCCATCAAACCACACTTCGAAGAAATAATATAGAGTAATTGATTTGTGTGGCGATTTCGAGGATTATTCTTTGAAATCGGGACTGAGCCACTTTTGGAATCAACAGATGAGGGCGACAGTGCGACATACACCTGTCGCTATTTTCGAAACCAAACCAAAACAAGATGTTCCAGCAAGTGCGCGCGTACATGTCCAATGGAAGTCCTCTGCAAGCTGCCAAAACCTGCGCCTCCTTCCCTTCAGAGCGCGGCGACGTCGCAAGATCAACGAGCAGGCTAGGATAATCACATTCACGCTGATCACCAGGTCATTATGAACTCCTACCGTCTAGACAGCGAGTGCGGAACGGAAGAATCTAACGAAGAGCAGACGACGAAAGAGCGGGAAAACCGACGGGAGGCGCGATCGCGGGATCCAGTGCTGTCACGTGACGCCTGCAAAACGGAGGCCAATGTGGACTCCTCGCGTTAATGGTACGTTTACACCTGAGAAGAAATCCGCTGCCGCGGGAGCGGATCCGCTCCCGGCGGCGGCGGCGACGAGCGGGTTGCGTTTACATCTGTTTCCTTCGAGCAGTGGCGGCAGCGCCGGCTGCGGCAGCGGTTCCCGCAATGTCTCGTCAAATATGACGAGAAGGCGCGAGAGTTCCCGCCTCGGCTCTCTCTCTCCCGGGCTTTGCTGCTCCCGGAAGAACGCGTACTCGTGACGTAGGCAGCGTCGCGCCGCGCAAGAATGTCATATCCGGTCAGCGAAACGCCTGGTTCGGCGGCAGAAATAGATCCCGGACCTAAACGGCTCGCCGCCGCGTTTTCCGCCCAGCGTTTCGCCCCAGCGGCGAAAGCTGGGCGGATTCGCTGGCGGATCCGCAAGTGTAAACGTACCATAAGACGCCGGACGGCGGTGCCGCCCGGCGGCGCCGTTCACGTGAAGGTCGGGTGCGTCTAGTCATCGTGGAGGGCGCCGTCGGCGTGAAGCGCGTGTAACCGGAGGATCTGCGCGGCGCAAAGCGAGTTGCGCTGAAATCGACGTCAATCAATCCTTACTGGGCTGTGGAAGGTTTCTGACGCAACTCTGTCGGCGCGGAGCACTGTTGAGGCTACGCGTCGTCTGCTACTGGCTTATTTCTTTTTCGCCTGACTGAAAGTTTGCGTTCAAACGTGGAGGAACTTAATTCGTTAGCTTCTTAAGCCACCGAGGATTAACATTAATTATATCAATTTCTTGCCAGAGCCTGCCAAATAAAAGTAAAGAACCAAGATTTGGATGTCGGGTTCATGCATTCCGCCGGGCGAATTAATGAAAATGGCGGCCCTCTCCGCTCAGCTGGGAACATATGGCTGGGAACAGCCGAGAGTTCACGCGCATGCGCTCACGCCTCTCGCTCTGCGCCGTTAGTTTCAAGGAACCGCTCCGTTGGGGAAGGCATCGGGGGGAAATAGGGGGAGCAGACGACACGAAACACGTCCTTCGCTTCGAGACGCACCGAGGACCGGCTTGAGCGTTGCCATGGCATCGCGACGTCACTATCTACGCCACCTCCCATTGGCTCCTCTCTTATGCGGCGTGCGGCGCTGAGCGCAGAACCGCGCACGGAGCGGTTGGGTGTGCGGCGCCGCACGTCGTGACGTTGAAGCCGAAAACTGGTTTCCGCCGGCAACCGGCAGCGACGACCGTCGCGCCGCAGGCCTCCGAAACGCCAATGTGGTCTGCAAAGAAAAAAAAGTTTTTTTTTTTTTTTTAAATAGCCTAATTGGGACAAGCATGTCAAAAAACAATTTTTCCGCGAGAAAAAACATTTTTTACAGCAATATTTATTGCGTGAGACTCATTTTAGTTTGCGGCTATTTCGTCCGTTTTAAATCGCGCGCCACGAAGTTGTGATTATGTGACGTCAATCCCAAAAGGTTCTCATTGGCTAAGAGTTTGATTGGCAGCTTAGATCTTGGTTGTTAAACCTTTGTTATATGTTGCAATTTCCTTTTTTTTTTTTTTTTTATTCAAGTTCCCTTAAAGAGATTGTCCGGTCGAAACCGGAAGTACTTAAGTTCTTGCGCTCGTTACGTTGAGGGAGCCTTCATGTAGACAAACGTCATTTTTATTTTAAAATATGATCTACCGTTATTAATTAAACCTTTCATGAGCCCATGTACGAAACTGCACCCCGAATTTCGCCAGTGTCGATGGATGACATCCGTAGGCGCTGCGTGACGTCACAAAACGCAAAGGTTTGTCGGATGGTCGGGATAACAAGCGTTGGTCGATGGATGTCTTGCATTTTGTTTCGAATTATATAGTCTCCTAGACATTACCCTACTGAAATACGGTTATTTTAATGCAGTTCCCAAGCACGTGCAAAAAAAAGTCGCGCCTTTTAGCAGGATATTACTCGCAGACAGCCATAAGCTTCAAGCAAACGTGTGCCGTTTCGCCCAAACACAACTATGACGGACGCCGATCGAACTAGGGGCGCTTGCAAAGCAAAGGATGCAGATTTCGCCTTAATGCGGCACCTGGGTACACGAAGCGGCATCTGGGTACAGATGTCGGCGGATCCACTGGATCGGTGATGAGGCTGTGGGTCATTTCCTCAGAGGCGATGTCCACGGGTCGAAGGCAAACGGCGAACCGTTCAAATGCATGTCGTCACTTGACTTGGACGAGCTTGGTGAATCGTAGTCACGCTCCATTTTCACACGCGGGTCAACCAGAATCGGGCTGCACGCGTGCTAAATACAACTTCAGGTATCGTTTCGAGATGGCCTAGCTGTTGGTTTCGGTTTCGGCTCTTGTTTCTCCACGCCACGTTGTATGCTACATTTAATTAGTCGCAGTTTGATGACACCATTCGTGTTCCCTTAGTTTTAAAGTATAATAACGGAATCTTTTCTGTGAATATTTTTTATTCGAGTGTACTAAAAACGTTTTCTGCACGAAATGTTTTTGTCTGCATTTTTAACGGCCGCTCGGTTCCTGTCGTTTCCATAAGCGTTCGTGTCCTTCACATTCATTTAGCAATAGTAGATTCATTCCAAATCTCTGGAGTTTCGCATTTCGACGATAAGTTCGCGGCATCAGGATGATTTTGCGTCGGGAGTCACTGGCGGCAGCGCGCGGTCGGTATACCGGTCACATCGAAGACGAAGGCCTGACGATAGCGTCTTGGCCAAGACAGTTATCGACCGTAACTTTGGCGTCAAGTTAAATCGAGAATCGGCAAAAATGCCGATTCTCGGCGTTTTTCCCAGGCCCTTTAGTGGGCGTCCACAGGTACCAGCGGATAAAGCATGCAGTATTATGCTCAGCTACGGGGGCATGCGAGTGCCAACGCACTAAATCCCAGACCTCTGCAATGTGTCGGAGTCATCAATATGCATCCAAGAGCAACCAAAGGCGGGGACTATCAAGAGGGCAACACCTTTCCCGTGTCTGTAAGAATATCAACACTGTGGATCCCCACATAGCATCAAAAAGAAACAATTTACGTCAGCCAATATTTCAACACTCACCACAGGGAGCCAAACCTACACGAGTAGGTGCCCAAAACGCTTTCAGAATATCATAATCAAGCAAATTCCTACCCTTGGTTCCGCGTCTACCGCGGGTACGTTATTATCATAAATGAGAGGAAATGCAACCTCCGTATCGGCGTTATTGTTAAACATCGCAGACATTTGAGCAAGAGCTGCGAAAAATGGCACCACGAGCAGAGACGGACGAGGAGTGTCGCCTGCTATCGCCTAAGCTATAGCCGTCTGGTCTTGTTGTCTGCTTCTGCACGGACGCTGAACTGAGTCCGGAGCCGGTGCAAGATTTTGAGGAACTGGGTCTGAACTCGTTCAGAACTGGAATCAATCGAACGCGCCAATGCAGCGGTCGTGCAACTTCCATTGAATCGAATGCACCAGTTCCTGCACTGCTGAACTAGTTCAGCCAGTTCAGGCGAATCGAACAGACCTAAATTGACTGATCCGATTTGGGCGAGGAGTGGGTGGACGTAGTTTAATATTGTTGGCACAGCATCACACCTCAGCTTACAAGCCTTCTGTCCGCTTAGAGCTCAGCTCGTAGCTCTCTTCTGTGAGATGATTGCTGCATAAGCGAGATCTCGATCTGGACGGGAACCCAGTCCCTACGCACGACGACGATCCACTTTGCTCGTCACTGCACGTCTCGCGGAAAAGTGTGGAACGTCATGTCTTGGCTCGCATGTGCTGCCCGGTGGTTGTGGCACCCAACCGCGCAACAAAAATCTCACCCAACCACGAAACAAGTCGAGCACAACAACAAAAACGAAGCACGCCGAGGCGTTCACTCTCAGGCAAAGGGCAAACGACGAGACAGAAATGCTCGCTTTGTGTTTTGTGACGTCAGAACTTCAATGTTGCCAACGAAAGCAGCGTTTACGCTAGAATGAGATTGGAGCAGTATAAATTCAATTACTCACGCAGGGGGGCATATAAAATTCAGATATTGCACATACGGTGCGTCTCGGGGCAATAACAATGATAGTCAATTGTTTTCTCGAATACAAAATATCACCGGACAATCCCTTTAAAGGCCCTCGTTGAGGGCATTACATAAGGGGGGGTCATATCACGAGTATAAAACAATAACAACGACATATGCGAATACATGGGGTGCTGCAAAACAATGTGGCATAGCCACGAGCAACGGCAATACACAAATTAGTCTGGGTACATGGGGATGTAAGGGGATGAAAACATTGATACAGTCAGTAAAGCTCAAGACAAAAAAAAAAAAAGAAAAAGGCACAGTGGGATTAACAGAAATGTGCACAAAGAGCGTTGCGAAATGCGTGGGATCCGTCTGGGTCACAATAAGTGAGGGGAGGTCGTTCCAGTCTACAATAGTACGAGGGAAGAAGGAGGAGTTAAAATAGGTTGTGCTGCCTGAGACGCGGGAAACGTGACACGGGTGACTTAGCCGCGATGAAGATCGCCTGGGGGGTAGGAGGAGCGGGTCTCGGAGCGCAGGGAGGTAGTAATAAATTTTGTGAAAGAGACAGAGTCGCGCTATCTTACGGCGGACGTTTAGTAATGGAAGGTTCAGTTCGCTCTTCAGCGCGGATACACTAACCGACCAATCGTATTTCTTCAAAATAAACCTGGCAGCGCGGTTCTGGACTGCCTCGAGATGATTTAATAAGTATATGTGGTGAGGGCTCCAAATGGCCGCAGCATATTCTAATTTGGGTCGAATGTATGTCTCATAAGCCAATTTTCGCACGAATGGGGGAGCCGATTTCAGGTTCCGTCTTATGTAACCGAGGCAGCGAGACGCCTCGGCGCATATAAGTTCGATGTGAGCGTTCCAGGTAAGATCGTTAGTTAGAGTCACACCGAGGTATTTATAGGACGGGACGGCTTCGACTAAGTTATTTTCTAACTTGTACGAGAACTGAGATGCTTGCCGTTTTCGTGAAAACTGGACTAACTTGCATTTAGATTTGTTTAGCGTCATTAACCACCTGGTGTACCATGCCTGGATTTCGTCCAGGTCTCTTTGAAGTAAAAGATGGTCTTCAAAAGAAGCTATTCTTCGGTATAGGACGCAGTCGTCTGCGAAAAGGCGGATGTTAGAGGAAATTTTGCCTGGAATGTCATTAATAAAGATCAGAAAAAGTAGGGGACCAAGAACCGAGCCCTGGGGAACTCCCGAAGTAATTTCAGCGCGGGCGGATGAGGAACTATTTATTGTGGTGAATTGAGTGCGAGAGGAGAGGAAATCCTGGATCCAGGAGAGAATGAGGGTCAATTCCGAGGCATGAAAGTTTGGCAAGCAGGCGACATATTTGCGGCATATTTTTACGTTTAAAGAATAACCCATGTGATGAGAGTTATTATTCTTTACAAAAGGTTTACAAGACGGGCACTTCCGTTTGGATTCATAGAAACAAAAGCTTCGCCGTTCTTTCATGGCCGCCGAAGTCTGCTCCCGCACGTATCGCCTACCTCGACTAATCGTTTCGCCGAAGTGATCAGTGTTTCGTCGTTTCGTGCTGACCCAGGTGCTTGAGTGAGACTTCTTGAAGTGAAGTAGTGTGTGTTTAGCAGCTGTCGCAGGTGTTAGTGATAGGAAGCTACGCGGGGTTTTGGCTTTCATAGCGCGGTTCTTTCGTTTTCCTCTTTGCCTGCATAGCGTGATTTTTTTTTTTTTTTTTTTTTGGCTTGTTTGCGCGTGCGAATGTTGACTTTTCGGAGATGTCAGATGCGTGATCCCGACAGTGAGCCTTTCAGCAGCCATGTCGCCCTGAAAGGAATGCTATTTGGCTGGAGGCCATCGGGCGTTCGCGTAGCGACCAACGTGTCTAGTTACGTTCTCGTCATATCGCTTTGGAGGCCGTCGAGATTCGCCCCGTGTGCACCTAACGTCTGCGACTAGACAGAAAATAAAAAAGCACTATGCCCACTACGTAAAAATGGTCTAAGTTCATGCATCTGTAGGCAGGTACGAAATCGTGCCCAAATTTATTCACACCGCACGATGCAACACGTCGCTGTGCAAACGCAGTCCAACATGAAGCATAAAAACGGCAGAGTTAGGACAACAATTCGGAGTCCATTGTTCAATTAAAACGACGTAATTTTGTTGAAAACGCCCGCAGCTTTTTACTCACGGTATGCGTCGGGAAGCTTCCACATTTTGAAACAAAACGAGGCAGATATACTTTAAAAAACGCTCCCAGCGTCCTCCCGGACCAGTTTGACTGGATCAGCTGACGACGACGGGACTTAACTGGTTGAACGTTTACCCCACAACAACCAATTTGCGCTCCGTGTTAGCACCGCATTACACACACCACGAACGTTTCAGCTCTCTCGCATCGCCGTGTTGCACCAAACAGAACGATATCGCCGAAACCAACGCAGCGCTGTCGTGAACCTTGGCTTGTGTTTGCGCACTCGTGGATTCTGTGACTCCCTTCGCTTTCAAAGCGCGCTCGACGATTACGAACGATACTTTCCGTCTTCCGGGAACATCACAGGGGCACTTCTCCGGTCACGTCTTCGCTACATGTGCTCGCAAACCGCGTCAAACCAAAACAATACCGCGGCCTGGCGTAGTTGCCAGATCTTGCCGGAAGTCGAGACGCTGCGTCGTTCAACCACCAACTCCGCAACGCAAGGAGAGTGAGGGGCGGGGCCGCTACGCACCCCTCCCCCCCCCCCCCCCCCCCCCCCCCCCCCCCCCCCCTAAAAGAAAAAAAAAAATGGCGGCGCCGGCGGCGCGCCGGATTTTTTGTCCGGCGGCGGCGGCGGCGTGCTGGCTCTGGGGATTCCGGCGGCGGCGCGGGGCGGCGAGAGCAAAACAGGCGGCGGCGGCGGCGGCGTCGCGGCGCGGCGGCGCACAGGTCTAGGGATTTCGAGAGCCTTCGTCTTCGCAAACGGCTAGCTCGACCGTCGATGGAGTGGTCGACGGCGTCAAAAGTTATAATCAAAACGTTTGCGATTCATTTTATGAAAATGGCTTTTGTTTATTATTTTAGTTTCGCAATTTATTGATAAAGCCACGAGTGGCCGATTCGTTGCAGCACTCGGCGCCTCCGACCACGGAAGCAGAGCTGGCAGAGCGTTGCTGAGCGCCCCCAGAAATTGACTCCATTGGTACTCGCCACCCCTGGCACGCTGGCCCACGTCGTGCGCTGGCCGGGCATTACCGGGCGCCATGGGTCAAAAACAGCCTCGCTATGGCAAGCGGAAGCTTCGGAAATCCCTCATTGAAAATACTCGTAAGCGACTGTCCGTGGAAGCTTCGCACGTTGAGGTTTCTGGTGTGATCGAGCCATCGTGTTCCAACTCTGATGGTATTGTTTGCGAGAGTAACGAAAGTGGTCCTCAAGCCGCGTCCGTGCAAGGAGGTGTTGGCAAGACTCGCCGTCCACTCTCGGCGAAGGGGACCCGGTCTGTCCCGTGGCAGCGGTGGTCGGACACAGTGAATGGGTCCGAGCACGGCGTCACGCGACAAAGTCAGTGATTGAACATGTGTGCGCGCGGAACGATGACATGCGCTCGTGTCCAGTTCATTCCGGTATTCAATCTCAGCCTGATCTAGGTTAGGTTAGGTTAGGCTAGGCTTTCCGCTGTGTCATAAGGTACTAACGGTACTAATGTGCCAGAACAAAATTGGCGCGTACAGCCGCGGCCCGCAGCGTGACCTTTCAGGACTAGGGAAATGGCCTTGAAGAACCGAGAAATGGTATCTTGTGCCCTATAATAATCATATGTCGTTAGCATATATTCTTATAAATATTTGCAACTTGGAAGAATATGTTTACGTGGCGATTTAGCAATCGCGCTCCTGACGGATGTCAGGGAATCCTTTATTATCCGTGGTTACGAAATCCACGATTTGCAAAAAAGCTGTCGCGCATGCGCAACCAGAGTGTGTTGTTGCTAGCGCCCCCTGTCTGGTTGGAAAAGAAATGGGCGTGCCGGCTATTCCTATTCTGCGACAGAGGCGCAGAAGCGAGTACGGCCGGGGCCCGGGAGAGAGCTCGCGAGTCGCTTTGTTTGTCGCCATGCCGGCCCACTGTGTTGCGCTTGGTTGCATGAATTACTTCTACGGCAAAGAGAACAGAAAGTTTTTTAGATTTCTTTCGGCCAGGCTGAATCCTGCGAAGAGAGAAGCCTGAATAGCTGCCGTGAGGAAAAGAAACACGACGGCTCACCATGGCAGCCGAACGAGCACTGCCACTTCTGCAGCAACACCCATCCCGTGGCCCAAAACGGGAACGGGACACTGTCCTTTTCCATCATTTTGAAGCACCCGGAAAGGGAGAAGAGGTTGCACGGACGGGCAGCTTGCGTGCACGAGCTTTACGCCCACGTGTTTCAAAGCAAACCAAAACCGTGCATCACGAAGCCTAGTTGTTTTCCAATCACATTCCAGCTTCGCACCCAAAATTTCAAAGTTTCCGGCGTTGTGCGAGAGGTGGCACGCACTATTTTGCGAATCTTGGATTCAGAGGTCGCATCGCTTTGTGAGCGAGCGCAGTTTCTGCGTGCAGGCGATATGTATTCGCGTTTCGGGTGGGAATATTCACTGGCGACCATACCGGAGTCTTCTACTGCTGATGGCAAACTTGTTTGCAACGTGCACTTCATTTGCTCAAGGTTAAGTGTCCTTAGTAGCTTTAAGTGTGAACCTGTTCTGAGCATGTGCGGTGCACAGTGAACTCAAATATGGCATCCGGTGAATATGTTTACCGGACACCATATTTGAGTGCAGTGTTCACTACGCATGCCCAGAATGAGCTCAGACTTGTAGGCCCGTAGCTCTCAAGTTTTGAGCAGCGCTCCAGGCGAGCAAAATAGAATATTTGGCTCGGGTTTCGAACATGCGTCAATACGCTTCCCCACTAGAGTTTTTTTCCATTCCAATCCATTCTAAGTGCCAATGTAGCAGAGCCTACAAGAGTGAGCTGCGAGCTTTCAGCGTCCCTGTCAAGCATGTGCGCTCGTGCAGTGCGAGCATCTTTCAGGAGGGCATGCTTTTGCGAGTAGCTTCGGCTTCGCTATCACGTAAAGTGAAACACACATGCTCGCGTAAGCTATGAACGAAGGCAAAGATGAAAGGAATGTTTAATGGGACGCTGCGGGCGCGAGCTGCATAATTCTTTTTTTAATTTAAATTTTTTTAGATGTTTTGTTATCGCACATATTCAGATGCTTGCATTAGAACGTGGCACGTGCAAAATCGAATGTTGCAGGGCCACCTGGATGGTTCAGCCATCATAGCATGGTCGCGTCTTGCGGGTGCGCTTGTGCCCCCTGCTCCAGAGCACCGGGTCTATAGGTTCCTGAGACCGGCAAGCTCGATGGTGCACAATGCATGTTGCAAAAGCTCCGTGGGAGCACGCCATCAGCACGTGCCGAGCGGCTACGCACTCTGCTACGGCTGACAGTGAATAACACCCCCTATAATAAATGTGTCTGTCTCTTCTTGTTTCTCTGCATGGCAGACATCAGCAAACATAAAAAAAAAAGAAAAAGAAAACGGTGTACAAATGACGGACCTCGTCAGATCGTCACCCACTTTCCAACCTCATTGCTCACTTCTAGGCCGCAGTCGGCCATCGGGGACCTCTACCGACGTACGGAAGCACACCCTAACAGATGCTGTCCACCCAGGTACTGTAAACAATGTGAGGCCGCACTAATCGGTGATCCACCTTTTCAATCCAGTTTCCTGATGACCCATGTTCATCTTGTCAATGCTTACCTAGATCTGCCAGCTGCCCAAAGACATGCCCCTGCACTGGATTGTGGCAGTGGCATCAGCCTCTTCGGTGGTGACGTCCCTACTGCCAGCAGCCCGGGTATTTTAAGTTCCATGCTAATGCTGTCGGTGCATGTCCATCAGCGCGCCATTAACACAGAGCGTCCAAGTTAGCCAGGGGAGCACGCATGCTGATTGGCGACGAAAAGTGCACAGCAGACGAAAAAGGGAGCAGACGAGCAAATCGGAAACGGGTTACCCGTTTCCGATTTGCCCGTTGCCCTCATTGCTGAAACGCTTTCTGGATTCAGAATGAATGCGCTGTTGTTTGAGATTTTGGTCTGTGTCAAATTGTTTTCGGCATTGCTGTGCCTAAATAAATTCCGCCGGAGCACCCAGTGTTGTGCCTATCGATGCACTACGTGATTACGAGAAGCCGTAAAGCAACATTCGCAAGTGACTTTGTTTTGCTTTCCGCATGATAAACATCGCTGTTGTCACCGTCGCACATAGACTGCGACGTAATCGCGTCTCGTTAATGAAACGTAGCCATGTTGACGAGACGTCGCTGGACATAACGTATGAAACGAGTGCCGACGAGCCTTTCGTAGTTGAAATGGGACGTCGTGTCTCCAGGCCAATAGGTTTTATTAGCATACTGAAGGGACACTACAACGAAATTTCGGCGCTTATTTTTTGGTCTCTATGTGTTCAAAGGAGTAGTATCACATCGAACACACCAATATTTTGTTAAGAAAGTCACGAAAAGGAATTTTAAAATGAATTAAACGATTAGCAAAGGGCACCTGGCGGACGTTACTAACGCCTCGTCGGTAATGCCCATCTAGGAACCTTGAGAGGTAGTGATGGTAACTGTCTCGCCTCCGGCCACGACGAGAGAAGAGGGGAAGGAGGAACTCCCCTCTTCGAATCCCGTTTGTGTGGTCCAAAAGTCGCTATTGTCCCTCTACAAGGTTATAGAAGATTAACCCGTCATTCAAAATTCATACAAAAGCAGCCGTTTCGGTGGCTGGAACGACTAGGTCATTCTCTCGACGTCAGCCTCGCCATAGCTTTGCTCGTCCCGACACGAACTACATAATGATTGCGTTGGATGTCACGTGTTCTCCGCTGGCTGTTCTTCGAGCGCTTGCCAGAGTGGACCGTTTATAACGAAAAATACAGCCATTAGGCCCAAAATAGAAACGTGCAATTGTGACTTATGGATATTGTGGATCATATTCAACCTAATTTTGAACATGACGGGTATATTTCAAATTTCATTGAATTATCCCTTTAAATCCTTCTGTTAGCACAAAGTTATCAAGAAACAACAGCCTTACAGTTTTTTTGCTTTTTTTTTACGTTGTGTCTATTAATTTATGTTTTGTAATGATGGGCCATTGTAAATTATGAGGAAAGTGAACTGTTTCAGGGTGACTTACCTTGTAACATACAATACGCAGAAAGGACAGTGCCAGTTTGTTCTGCAAGAATTCATACATTATACGTCTTGCTAAATTTTTGTCCCGCGTTTATGCGTCTTTAAAGAAAAAAAAGTTTTTTTTTAAACAGCCTAATTGGAACAAGCATGTCACAAAACAAATGTTCCGCAAAAAAAATGATTTTTTTTATCAATATTTACGCCACAGGACGTAATTTAGTAGAGTCAGAACCTCTCCACATTTGAAACTCCCGCTCTTTCGACCCCCGCGGAAGAGGAGTACGCCCCGCCCCTCACTCTCCTTGCGTTGCGGAGTTGAACGACGCAGCGTCTCGACTTCCGGCAAGATCTGGCAACTACGCCAGGCCGCAGTATTGTTTTGATTTGACGCGGTTTGCGAGCACATGTAGCGAAGACGTGACCGGAGAAGTACCCCTGTGATGTTCCCGGAAGACGGAAAGTATCGTTCGTAATCGTCGTGCGCGCTTTGAAAGCGAAGGGAGTCACAGAATCCACGAGTGCGCAACCACAAGCCAATGTTCACGACAGCGCTGCGTTGGTTTCGGCGATCTTGTTCTGTTTGGTGCAACACGGCGATGCGACAGAGCTGAAACGTTTGTGGTGTGTGTGATGCGGTGCTAACACGGAGCGCAAATTGGTTGTTGTGGGGTTGACGTTCAACCAGTTAAGTCCCGTCGTCGTCAGCTGATCCAGTCAAACTGGTCCGGGAGGACGCTGGGAGCGTTTTTAAAAGTAAATCTGCCTCGTTCTGTTTCAAAATGTGGAAGTTTCCCGACGCATACCGTGAGTAAAAAGCTGCGGGCGTTTTCAACAAAATTACGTCGTTTTAATTGTACAATGGACTCCGAATTGTTGTCCTAAATCTGCCGTTTTTATGCTTCGTGTTAGACTGCGTTTGCACAGCGACGTGTTGCATCGTGCGGTGTGAATAAATTTGGGCACGATTTCGTACCTGCCTACAGATGCATGAACTGAGACCATTTTGACGTAGTGGACATAGTGCTTTTTTATTTTCTGTCTAGTCGCGGACGTTAGGTGCACACGGGGCGAATCTCGACGGCCTCCAGAGCGATATGAGGAGAACGTAACTAAACACGTTGGTCGCTACGCGAACGCCCTATTGCCTCCAGCCAAATAGCATTCCTTTCGCGGCGACATGGCTGCTGGAAGGCTCACTGTTGGGATCACGCATCTGACATCTCCGAAAAGTCAGCATTTGCACGCGCAAACAAGCAAAACAAACAAAAAAAAGCACGCTAAGCAAGCAAAGAGGAAATCGAAAGAACCGCGCTATGAAAATCAAAACCCCGCGTCGCTTCCTATCACTAACACCTGCGACAGCTGCTAAACACACACTACTTCACTTCAAGAAGTCTCACTCAAGCACCTGGGTCAGCAAGAAACGACGAAACACTGATCACTTCGGCGAAACGATTAGTCGAGGTAGGCGAGACAGGCGGGAGCAGAGACTTCGGCGGCCATGAAAGAATGGCGAAGCTTTTGTTTGTATGAACCCAAACGGAAGTGCCCGTCTTGTAAACCTTTTGTAAACCTTTTTTAAAGAATAATAACTCTCATCACATGGGTTATTCTTTAAACGTAAAAATATGCCGCTCAAAAGGAAATTGCAACATATAACACAGGTTTAACAACCAAGATCTAAGCTGTCAATCAAACTCTTAGCCAATGAGAACCTTTTGGGATTGACGTCACATAATCACAACTTCGTGGCGCGCGATTTAAAACGGACGAAATAGCCGCAAACTAAAATGAGTCTCACGCAATAAATATTGCTGTAAAAAAGGTTTTTTCTCGCGGAAAAATTGTTTTTTGACATGCTTGTCCCAATTAGGCTATTTAAAAAAAAACTTTTTTTTCTTTGCAGTTACCCTTTAAGAGCATTCGTACGTGCTGTCAGCATGGCACATACGCAGATGCTTCACTGGAGTCTGGTTTCTGTGCAAGTGCGATTCCCATAACTACTGTAGGTAAACGTTGACTTGTTTGTAAGCAGCGCGTCGGCCTATATGGGAATGTGCACGATACTGCACGTTGTGACTGTAACCTAAAATTAGAATGACTCCTTTCCGTTTAGTCGGAAAGTGTGTACCGTAATATCCCAAAGGATGACCCACCTAAAGGAGAAGCGAATCGGGTGAAACTGAGGATAAAGCTAACTCTCAGTGTGAGATTGAGAAAAAAATTTTTAAAATGCCATTTTTGTATTATGTGACCTGCCAAATTTGTTTTCACACTGGGGGACATTGGAGCATAGACAACTGTATTTCTCTTCCCAGTCAGTAATGTTTGCTCATCTCCAGCCGTAATTCACTACCCCCCCCCCCCCCCCCCCTTGTTTCGGCCGAGTTCACCATTGGCCAGGGCACTGCAATTACTAAAAGTAAACTATCTTTCAATGGTTTTTCGAAAACAAGAATAGCAAATCATGTTAAATATTGGGACGGACTATCTTTCGGGATATAACGGTAAGCAGACCAATCAAATTAAGCCAGTAATGAGGACATTCCGGAAAGACGCCGCACCACTTGCGTCAATGTTAACGGCTTCGCACCAGTGTGCGCACTTCAAGCTTCACTGCTTTGCATTGGAGCATGTGGTTAGAGCCTCACGGTTTTGAAACGGCGTTCTAGGAGCAGCAGCTGATGCAGGGGAACGCTTTCGGTATCTCAGTGGGCTCGTAAATTATGCTTACTAGTTGTGCAGGCCGACCGACGGTTACAAAAGTTTGTTAGAAAAGCTAAGAAAGAAATATAGGCCTATATTTTAGTTCTCAGCTCCCTTGCATCAGTCGAATGGCACGTCGCTGAGCTCTGACTCAACTTGGCTGCAATGCTGCTAATGCTACAGAATAATGCACGACTTTGCCTTCTAGGCACATGTGTAAATTTTCACAGTGTTTTGTGGGTTGCAGTTTTCATATAAATTAGTCAAGTCTGTTTTCAAAAACCCCCATTTTAGGGAATATGGTGTTTTTTGTTTTAATTTCACTCATTATTTGAGAGAAACTGAACTGAAATGGTGCTCAAGAAATGTCGCACAAGCATATTATTTGAGAGAAACTGAACTGAAATGGCACGCAAGTACAAAGTAAGTTAGTAAGCATCCCAGGTGCAATCTACTTGAAGTAAAGTACTATAAGTACAAGGTACTTTCAAAGTAAAGTACTAGTTCTTTTCAACACAATCTTTCATGATGCCCTTTTTTTCCCCTTTGATACAGTGTTTTTTTTGTTGTTTTTTTTTTATCTGGTATGCTTTGCCTCTGCAGTAATTGGGGGTGCATCAGTTATTTCGGGAAATGGTGACGGATATTGGATAAAGTAAAGTAGTCACAGAGTATGCAGTTATTTTCGGAAATGGCACCGAATTTAGAAGTTTCTTCGATTTTTTTTTTATTTTAAGCACCTTGCATTGGCTTGCACTGAAGGGGCTTAAACATACTGGGAGAGCATGGCATCAGCCCCGTAGCTTCCGCAGGCAATCCTTTCATAGAGGAGTGTCCTCTCCCAATATTTTTAACCTCCTCGCTTGTGCTGACCGAGCGAGATGTAGCAAGATTTCCAGAGTCTACAGGAAAGCCGCCTCACGTGACATCAATCATCCGCTAAATTTAGTCGGGAATCGAATTGGTGTTGAGATTATGTGACGTAAATTTTCCTGCTAAGTTTGGCAGGAAAATCGCTGTTGAGGTCACGTGCTGTAAAACAGTACCTCAGTGTATCCATACTTGCTCATGTAGTAGGCTAAAAATACCATTCCTAGTCCAAAATGCCCTATTACCCCCCATGCTGCTGAACATTGAGCAGTTCAGCACTCTGTGAAATGTCAAACATTTGTGTGTGCGCAAAGTGAATCTCTGAGCAAGCTCCTAATCTGTTTATGGCTGATCATTGTTTTTGTTTTCCTTGTCCCGACGCACACAACCTTGTCTTTATGTCTGTAGGCGACAAAGGGACCTTCCCACCAAAAGCGCCCAAGGGCCTCCAGTTCAAATGCGGTTTCTGCTTCTACATCACCAAGGACCAGCATGGAATGGTCAGCCACCTAATTCACCATGCGGAGGGACGGCGGCTCGAGTGCCAACACTGTCCCCAGCTTCCTTCAGGTTTGGAACTGTACCACCACAACCATCCGGATTTTAAGCCACTCAAAAGTGCCAACAAGATGAACACCTTTGGCTTTGAAAAAAACATATTAAAAAACACACCATAAAAAAAAAAAAAAAATTCCCAAGCATAAGGAGTGTTGCAAAGACTCGAACAGGCTACCCCTCTGATTACCCGCACGGATCTGGGCATGGGGGCAAAACGTCTTTCGTATCCCAACGGCACCTCCAGTCCTTCAGTGAAATTGATAATCCGACCAAGCGCACGTTCCAAAGCTTCCGGACGAGAAACGCCACAGGTACAAGAAGTGGCCCCAAAGCCTTTACTCACTCTTACAATCCGGTCACCCACCTTAAAGGCTAGTTCACACATTTGTGTTTGATTGTGATAGATTGTGTCGTATTTCCTCATAACTGTTTAACACACTGGTGTCATCTACCAGGTGGCTCTGGAACACTTTCATCTGTAGTGTAACTAGACAGAAGTCAGTGCTTCAAGCAGTTACAAGGAAACTTTGCGCTCCATCGCAGTGAAGTGTAAATGTGTAAACCAACCTTAAGTTGCATTGGCACAGAAGACCCCGCAAGTGGTGGCGTTGTCGCAGAGCCTGGAGCTATTGGAAGATCTGACAGACAGCATTTTAATACATCCGACGGTTAATAGTCGCAAAAGCCTGCAATGCCCTCAAGCACGTGCCGCTTGTGTGGGCAGCACGTGCAGTTGCAGGGTAAACTTCGGTTTCTGGCCTGCAAAACACCCTCCAAAAGAGGACCCTGCTTAAAGGGTGAGAGAGAGGGAGTCCCACGCTGATTGCAGCGATAACATAGGGTCTAGAACCAACGTAAGGCTGGAAGTTAAAAGATCTCCTAGAGGGGAGTTCACATTCTGCTTTTTGTGAACTCACAGTTTTGTTTTGTTTGTTTCGCTTTAACAAACTCTTTCTGCAATGTTGCCAATTATTGCATAAGGGTGCTCTTAAATATTTCTTTCTGATTTAGTGATCACATTTATCATAAATATGTCGAGTGTGTAACTAGCTCCGTCCGCCAACTGTTTCAGGAATTGCCGGAGAAAACTGAGCTGCGTCAATTTCAATTGGTGGTCAACACAGGCTGCTGTATCTCCAAAACAAAAAGCTGAGACTGTGCTACACCGTCAGATCTTAGCGTTAGGCCTGTGAAAATGTTCGGCGTAGAAAAACATCCGAGTAGTTTGGTGGTCGGAGATTTGCAGAAACTACTCGTTACGGCATCGAAGCATACCTTGCGTTTGCAGCCATCTTCATCGATTTTAGCAAAGAATTTGTTAAATTGCTGGCTCCTAGTAGTTTCCTTTAAAGGGCAACTCCGCTCAATTCCGAAGATTTCGGGATAATGAGTGATTTCGCATTAAAAAGCCCTAGTAAAAGACACTACGTCGTTTGCTTCGCGAAAAATGGGATATATATTTTTAAATCTAATTTTAAACATGAGCGGAAATCGAAACCGAAACTTCGGCTCCGTCTGGCAACATTGGCCTCGGGCGGCCAAGTACATGGCCATCACGTGGTGCGAGATGTCACGTGATCCTCGGCCCAATGACGGGCGGGATGGGGGCGGGAGTGCGGCAGGCGCGAGTGTCGTCTGCACCGCACTCTTCGCCACGTTTTGGTGTCTACGGCATTCGACGACGTCTGCACAACTGCGGCATAAGTCTGCGACTCTGCGCACGTGGTGTCCATAGTGTGGACGAAACTCCGAGAGGCAATAATCACAAACGGTGAGACGACGACGGTGATTGTGACGCGGAAGACGGCGGTAACGGCGGGACCACGGCGGGCGGTTGGTCTGCTCCCAAGAAGTGCGCTGCGCAGGCGCGTACGCCAATCACGTGGACACCGCTGAGCGCCGAGAGGAAACGTTGCTGACGTCATGCGCTACGCTCGATCGGAGAAGTAAAAACAAGCAAAATGGGGCCATGATGATGACGTTTAGCTCAATGTTGGCTCCGCCCATGCCGTAGCCTTGACTGCGCTGTTGTTTGCGCCTGAATTCGCCCGCTCGAGTCAGCCGATTTCGGCAACTTGGCAAGTTGCAAAGTTTGCCGGACCGTTTAAGAAACATTTAGGCAGAACTGCGTCGTAATATTTGACGTGTGGTCTTCCTAGGCGATGCTGAAGAGGACTGCATTGTTTTTTCCAAACTAAAAATGAAGCGGAGTTGCCCTTTAAAGGGATGGTGAACCGAAATTCGGATTTTAAGAAAAACAATGCTGGAGATGTAGGCAGGACGCTACATTCCCTACAACAGTTCTAGTAAGGTGTTATATCAAATGGACGGCCATATTTATGGAAAAGAAGTTGAAATTGAACCAGGCCGACGAGGCGCGTGACGTCAAGATACCTAGTTTCCTCCTCTCTTCGCTTTGCTCCCTCAAGGCCACGAGGCGGAGAAGACGCGAGGCCGTTCCCTCCCCTTCTCGGAAAAACATGACGTCAACATTCCTGCCAAATGCGTCTTATTTTTTTTTTTTTTTTTAAATACGGTCATCCGTTTGAGACATCGCTGTACAAGTGATGCTTTGGTGTTTGTAGCATCCCGTTGCACGCTTTTGCCGCGTGTTTTGGGGAATCAAGATTTCGGTTCAGCATCCCTTTAGCTCGCTTTCTGTAATGCTCCTACAACGAAAAACATTGAATTAAAATTGATTGCATGCGAGCCCTGCGTCAGCGTTTTGCTAGAACTCGCGTCCTCGACGATTAAGTGCAGCACTTATGTCCAATATGCACCATGCTGGCCTCTGGTAAGTAAAATAGAGAGACCAGCATAACAGCCTTGTCGTCTTGGAGGTGTTAAATAAGGGTGTTCACACATGTGGTGGGGGAGCTTCCGGGAGGAGAGGGAAGAGTGCCCGCACTAGCTTCAGAGGAAACGAGGATTTTACGAACTTGACGCAACCCTTGGCGAAGGTTTTTTTTAGAGATGCCATGCATGACAATTTTTGTGGTGTCAAGGCACAAAATACTTATGAAGTTCATCTATACAGTAACAACATAAAGGGACACAATGCATTCTGTGTTACCATCGCCTTGCCTACAATGGTGAAAAAAAAATGGCACATCGTTTTCCTTTCTCTTTCATGATACATGCGGGGATGTCTATTTCCGTAGGTTGGGGAAGTGCCTGCTCGAAGGACGTCTGCTGCCTTCTGGAAACCACAACCAACAATCTCTTCAAATGCTGTTTGTGCACCCACTTCGCTGGGGATCAGCGTGAAATTCTCAATCACCTCTTCCTTCGTTGTGATGAACGACTTAAGTGCCAGCAATGTTCAAAATCCTTTTCCAAAGCAGAAGACTTGAGGTACCACGCAGAGATTCACAAGCCAGAAAGAACTTGCGAGTATCAACTGTGGTAACAGCCTTTCAGGAACATGGTCATCTGGTAAATAACATTCCTGCCAATGAAGGTAAAAAACCCTTTCAAATGCCAGGAATGCCCCAAAGCATTTGCCAAAGTGATGTTGTACAGCCACATGCAAACCCACACCGGTGAGCAGCCTTTCCGAAACCAGGAATGTCCCAGAGCATTTTCTCGTCGAAGTAAGACGAGTTGCGACTTTTGAAGCAACAGAGATGAGAAGCCCTACAGATGCAAGCTGTGTCCACAAGCCTTTGCTCGTAGTGGGAAGTTGAGGCAGCACATTCAGATGCACACAAGTGAGAGACCTTACAAATGTGAACAATGTCCCCAAGCCTTTAGTCGTAGCGCGAGGCTAAGGTAGCACATTTAGAAGCACACAGGTGAGAGACCTTACAAATGCAAGCAATGTCCCTGAACCTTTTTACCGAAGTGAGAATCTGACGGAGCACATTCGAATTCACACAGGTGAGAGACCCAACAAACGCAAGCAGTGTTCGCAAACCGTCATTGATGGTGGTGCACTAAAGCAGCACATTCGAAGGCACACGGGTGAAAGACCTTACAAATGTAATCAATGTCCCAAGCCCTTCGCCAGAGCTATGGGGTCTTGCAGCTCATTGGTACACACAGAGGTGAGAGACCTTACAAATGCACGCAGTGTCCTTAATCCTTTAGCGCACTTGGCACCCTGACGTAGCACATTCAAACACACACAGGCAAGAAACCTTACAAATGTGAGCAATGTCCCCAAGCTTTTAATTACCGTGATTTGCTGACCCACCACATTCGAATGCACACTGGCGAGAGACCGTACAAATGCGAGCAGTGTTACAAAACCTTTAGTCTAAAACACACCTTGACATGTCACATTCGAAAGCACACAGGGGAGAAAACTGAGAGCACCGTCCTGAAGTCTTCACTTGAGCAAGAAGCTTACGGGGTACATTTGAATGAACACAAGTGAGAGATCTTACAAATCTGTGCAATGTCCCAAGGTGCACGTGAGAACCTGACGTAGCAGATTCAGATGCGTTGTGTCGGCAGTTCAGAAAATTTTTTTTTTTTGCAGTGCTATTTTTTAGACATGTGAAGGTGCGTGAGGAGCAGAGGCATAAGTTTAGCAGCTGGTTGGAAATGATCCAAATAGCAAATGCCCTTCATTGACTTGCGTCTGATCAATATCGGTGTTATTCATCTGAAGGAACTGGGCCTTGTTGGCTTCTGCTATATCCAGGGTTTTCTAATTTGTGTGGAAGGAACTGTTACATATAATAAACATGTTTACAAACTCAGTACCTCTTTTTTCTTGTTCTTCCGGGTCTGGCTTCAGTGTTATTACACAGCTGCAGAGCCGTGTATAGAGAGACTTTGCTCAGTCGGAGGCACGGGCAGAACCAGGGCTTGCATCAGACACAGAAAGAGGGCTTGACATGCTCTCTTGACAAACGAGAGGGCGAAAAGAACCCCCTAGCGGTGATAGCGAGAACCAGTTTTAATCATAGGTGTATGGTTCAGTGGGGTAAAGGTGAGTGAGGAGGAGTGGCAAATCTGGTGCGCCGACATCTGGAGAATATGGTCAACGTTACGATATGGTTTTAATAAGTGCCAAAGAGTTAAACGTAGTAACCCTTCCTGGTTAAAAGTAGTGTGCATGTGATGTTTTGATTATGATCATGCAGCAAGATGTAAGAAACGAATGTGCTGTTCGAACTCTGTTTTGCTCGGACAGGGAGTGAACACTTGGACGGCAGATTCCTATCTTGGTCCTCGGCGTCTGGCGTATGGATTATGTCGATCGTTCCTCTAGTTGCGCTCTTCCACCATGATCTTGGATGACCGTGATTGAAGCAACACGTGCACCATATTTTCACTCCCCGAGAGTTACTCCTACGCACTTACTACGTTTCTCGCGACCACCGCCAGGGTTTTATTTCCGACTCCTGGTTGGCCACATTCGAGTTTGTGAAAACGACCTGGAACACGCCCAGCCCGCTTTTGACCAATGGTGCCTCATTTGTCTGGTTAGCACAGTTGTTAGAGCGCTCCACTGGAAATGGACCAGGGGGATTTTTTCGGTCGCGCACCTTTCACCTATAGTTGTGTTTGGAGATTGGTGTTTGTCCTTTGTTCCCCTCCTCCAGGGATTATTTTCGTCAAGAAAATTCTGGTCGAAATTTTCGGGCAGTAATGGGGATGTGGATCAGGATTAAAGCAGAGAGAGGGTATTGTGGAAAGGGGATGCAGACTGAATCGGCTCTGGTGAATGTAAATTGTGAACATTGAAAGAAAGAATGCTAGGGGCGTTTCAGCAGGAGGCCAGTGGGGTTAAGACAAGTAGGACAAGCTCCTCTCTTGAAATCCACCACCTTTTAAAACAGCAGAGCGGAGGGGAGGCGAGTCCCCCTTGCCTTGTCTCGTCTCTCCGTTACACTCCTCCGCTAAGTGGAAAGAATACGGTGGTCTTCTGTGGAAGGGCTTGTCCTGCTTTCTTTAGTTTCACGGCATAGGGTGGAGCATGTGGGGAAGGACAGGAGACGGCTGAATTCTTTGTTGTAAAGGGCTTCACCCTAGTTGCCCAAGTTATTGCCGATTTACGAAAAAATTAAAATTATGCAAGCTTCATTGTGCCTACAAAGACGTAAGCACCGATTCTGACGGACGTTTCATCTGCGAAGCCTCTGGTGAACGCTCTTCCTGTTGCTGCTGCCGTTAGCTTATTTGGATATCAAGGGAGCATATACAACGTTGTGAACTAGCAAAAAGTCTGGGATAACTTAGATGCAGAAGTGACTAGGTTACTTCAAAAGGTGCACACATGAGGGTAGTTATAATATGGGAAGCAGAAACTCTGTCATACTTGCTTTTCAAGATATACTTCTAAGTGGAATGGAAGTAGAGCAGAGCGATTTAGGTTTAATGTTATTTATCCGGAGGGGGGAAGAAATGTCCCTAGTAGCACCGAATGTTGCCACAATGTTACTGGAATGTGGTCCGCCAACGTTGTGTATACGTGGCTAATGTCCGCAAAATGTCATGTCGCTGGAACGTTATCTGAAAACATTCCCGTAACATCACAGTAAACATTTGTGCTATGTTATGCCCTCAACATTTGTGCTATGTTATGCCCTCAACATTTGTGGTATGTTATGCCCTCAACATTAGTGGAACATAATTTATTAACATTGTTTATATATTTCCAATGACCACACAGCAAACATTTGTGGTATGTTTTGTCCTCAACATTCGTGTAACATTAACTTGGTGTCTCAAGTAGCAGCCAGGCTCTTTAAATCAACCGCGAAATTTGGTTTCTTAACCTATTGCGCTAGGAGTTTTTGCAGCGTTGCCCACAGGCGGTGCATTTTTTTATTATAAAAATTGCAAAGAGCGAACTTACCTGAGGAAAAAGTAAAGAAAGAAAAAGGGTTAACTCCTTTGGAAATTCAGCGAAGGCACCAGTCTTCAAACAATAGGGCGCCTTATTTTTGAAGACCGTTGGATTCGGTGCATTTCCATAGCAGTTAAGCCTTTTTCTTTCTCTATTTTTTCCTCAGTTAGTTCGCTCTTTGCAATTTTTATAGAAAAAAATACACCACCTGTGGGCAACGGTGCACAAAATCCTAGCGCGACAGGTCAAGAAACCGAATTTTGTGGTCGATTTAAAGAGACTGGCCCCTATTGGAGACACCCAATATATTGCCAATTGACCACTACTTTTCTACATGAGCTACATTATAAAAAAATCAATTTAACCACAACAAGGACAGCAAATTTAGCAGCTATACTCCGTTTCACCTTCAGTTGAAGCGCAGCATACACTACGAGCCATCCCAGTCAATTTAGCGTCAAGTCTACTGCGACTTTGAGCTCTGCCTCCCGTTTCACACAACTGGAAAGTCATGTGATAATCTTGCGGCGCTGGATCAGCTGGGATGGCCCATACCGTTCACTATGCTTTAACTTAAAGTGAAACGGAGCATAGTGGAGACAGCACTGTAACTATTCAGACTCAATATTTCGAAATTAATTAGTGTTGATTTTCATTTCTTTTATATTAAACTTTCACAACCCACAAAAGTAAAAGGTTCCATGGATTACCAGTATCCCCAACCATTGGGCAATTGATTTGCATGATAACTTCTACAATTTTTTCTCCAATTGCAAGATTTTGAATTATTTTGGAGTGGATTATCTACTCTCTACAGCAGAAGACTGACTAATAGAACATGCATATCACAAGATGCATCCCCCCCCCCCCCCCCCCCCCAGACAGTATAATTTCAGCAATATTTTCACTTTGTGACACAATTTAAAGCAGTCCTCCACTCCACTTTTCTCTCTCGCATCTGCTCGTGGCAAGCAGAGAAGGAAGCAGGGGCTGCTGGGAAAAGTATGCACATCCGTCTCCATCACTTCCTTCCAGCCAATAGGAAGTTACAAAAAGAAAGCTATCTCCTTGAAATAGCAACCACCTTTCACGCAACCATGTAAAATCAGTCTTGCCAAAATGAGTCTTGCGCCCTAAATAGTTATACTTTATTTTTTTTTTCAAGGAAAATGCATTTTATGACATGGGAGTCCTATCCATGTCGTTCTAAATTGTTCTAACTTTTTTAGTGGCCCTCTAAGAGGCACCTGTCACTGACCATAAAGTAGGACACTTAGAGGAATCCAAAAGATTTGTTGAGATAGGGTTTATTTTCATAAATCTTCCAAGTTTTACATTGCACTCAGTAAAAGCTGTAAGCTCAGCCAACTTGATTAAAATAAACTGTGAGAAAACATCACGAAAAAGGTTGCAGCAACAGGACCAGACATATACTGCGGAAACATTTGCAGATTCACTAAGAAACATATTCAACTTCTCAAAAAGTATAATGAGTGGTAACAACCAAGCTTAAGTTAGCAGAAGAAACATGTAGTTTGAAAGTAACTTCGAGCTAAATAAAATTGACTAGATATATAAGCAAAGGTGTGTTACAAACGGATCATTCTTGCATCCGTAGGGCAACTGCAAGAGGAAAAAAAAAAGTAATTACACAGACGAAAATTATAACAAAAATGTTTACCTCCTATTCATAGGCAGTATCCACGTTTACCAGGAATAGGTGTGACAGCTACTCGCTTAGTTCTATATACACAGATATTAGATTGTGAAAATAGTGGTAAATAAGTTCAATAAAAAAAACCACTAGAGTAACCTGCCACTGATGTTACCATATCTGTTGCTGCTCAAAGTTATCATAAAACAAACATATGTCATATTAATGAACAGAGAAGGAAGAGGAACAGTTACATAAAACTAGAGGGCACACAGTCCCTTATCGCCATCTTGAGCGGAGTGTCAGCCTTTCTCTACACCAACTGTCATTATTAGCTGTAGATTACTCCCAGAAGTCAAAAACTTATTTTCGGAAACCTCAATGAGACAGGCAAATGTCTTGCTTGTCCTCTGTCAATAACATAAACGTCATAATTATTGTGATCAATAAATTACATGGGTCCCCATCCCCTAACCTAAAAAAAGCTGTGCACATGGCAGGCTTCATGTTGCTTGGTAATGACATTAACGAGATAAACACTCACTTTTCTCAGTACTGTTTCTAAAGTGCAGTCAAAGTCAGCAAAACAAACTGATATATTAAGGAACATAATTTCCACATCAAAGGTCACTCAATGCCTGGAAAGTAGTTATAAAAGGGAAAGTCAGAGTGAAAGAAGCTGACTATAAACATAATAAGAGTAAAAAAAGTGCTTGCCTCTTTCTACAAAGTCACCTCTAGGCAGAAGCAGTGCCCTCCTGCAAAAAGCATATTAAAGAGTAAAGCTATACAGGGCGTTTCTTTAATTCTTTTCGGAATTGAAAAAAAAAAAAAAAAAAGCTGATAGCTACGTGGATTCGCCTTCAGTGTATGTTTGTGGGGCTTGGAGGGCATTATATGAGGGGATAAATGTCACAGTATGTTGGCTAACAAAATTCTGTTAATTAACTTTTTCATAAACGGTTTAATGGGCCACGTTGCAATTGCAGTTTTAAAGGGAGCCATTAGTAAAGGCTAACCCAATTTATACATTAAGATATTTATTGTTGAAATTTTGCCTTTCTTCGCTTGATTAGAAACCGCGTGCTGAAAACCGCGCCTGGTTAGGATTCGTAGAATAGTGATGGATTTGTTTCTGGTTCATCGTCACTATCTCTACAGCGTGCCTTTCATAGACGCGCCGGCGTCACTCTTCTGAGATTGTGACAGATGGACAGAAGTGGCTATGTCACTCTTCTACCAAGCATAATC